CTCTTTTCCAATCTCTCCAAGTACCAGGGGCAGATCCAGGGGCCCCCCCTTGAGAAAAAAAAATCATGTAAAATCACGTGATTTTTACCTTTTGGGGGGGTTGGGCCCCCCCTGGCGCTCAAGGGGGGGGGGGAGGTGCAAATTGAAAAAAATTTGAGGACCAAAAAAAAAAAAAAATGTGTTCATTATTCATGGAAACTTTGTGAGGGTATAAGGGGCACTACCGATAGAAAAGGGTGCCTGAAAAGTTATCCTTCCCTGAGCACTGCCTCTACATGATCTACTGTATAATATACAATTCAGAATCAATTTAAACCATTCTATTGAAATGCAACCCATTATCAAGAATAATAGAATATGCAAAATATTTACTTCCTTATAGTACTCTAACAAGGGAAACGCTCTCGGCCGTCTTGCCTGCATTACGCAATTCGATATGATGAAAATTGAGGTTGGGACATTATTTATATTATTTAAATGAAATCCTCTAAATATAATCACATTTTGAAGTGAATATTGACTAAGAATCATCAGAAGAATTATTTATTTACTATTAAATGTACCACGATCGAATAACTTGAATGAAATATGAACAAATTAATTAAAAAATATATTCTCATATTAAGTTGTGAAAACATAATCCAAGTCTACTGACCTTTGACCTTGTGACCTGGAATTTGTGTCATATGATTTGTGATACTTGATAACCCATGGGTACAAGTTCCATGGAGTTTGAACAATCGATCTTGAAAATATGCTAAAAAATTCAAAATCTTGATGTTGATGCCACAACAAAGTCTAAGTTTGTTGACCTAAACTGACCTTTGACCTTAACTTAGTGACCTGAAATACTACTCACATGATTGGGGATACTTGATAACCCTATAGTCCAAGTTTCATTGACTAAGAACTTAAACTTTCCAAATTATATCAAAAATTCAAAAACTTAACCTTAGGTTAAGTTTTCGATGATGAGGCCACAACATAGTCCCAAGTCCGTTGACCTGAAATGACCTTTGACCTTGACTTTGTGACCTAACATTCTACTCACATGATTAAGGATACTTGATTACCCTATAGGCCAAGTTTCATTGACTAAGAACTTATACTTTCAAAATTATATCAAAAATTCAAAAACTTAACCTTAGGTTAAGTTTTCTATGATGATGCCACAACATAGTCCAAGTCTGTTGACCTGAAATGACCTTTGACCTTGACTTTGTGACCTAACATTCTACTCACATGATTAAGGATACTTGATTACCCTATAGGCCAAGTTTCATTGACTAAGAACTTATACTTTCAAAATTATATCAAAAATTCAAAAACTTAACCTTAGGTTAAGTTTTCTATGATGATGCCACAACATAGTCCAAGTCTGTTGACCTGAAATGACCTTTGACCTTAACTTAGTGACCTGAAATACTACTCACATGATTGGGGATACTTGATAACCCTATAGGCCAAGTTTCATTGACTAAGAACTTATACTTTCAAAATTATATCAAAAATTCAAAAACTTAACCTTAGGTTAAGTTTTCTATGATGATGCCACAACATAGTCCAAGTCTGTTGACCTGAAATGACCTTTGATCTTGACTTTGTGACCTGAAATTTACTCACATGATTGGGGATACTTGATTACCCTATAGGCCAAGTTTCATTGACTAAGAACTTATACTTTCAAAATTATATCAAAAATTCAAAAACTTAAACTTAGGTTAAGTTTTTGATGTTGACGCCGTCGCCATCACCGGAAAAGCGGCGCCTATGACCCGTTCTCACTCACTTTGAAAGTGGTCTTAGTTAGACCGCTCCAGAGGAACGGGTCTTGAGGAACGGTTTGCGAGCGTTCATACTCCGAGCAGTTTTTTATGGCTCAAACCGCTCCACGAGTCAAAGTGGTCTTGTTGCTATGGCAGCTCAGGTCAGCAGGTCAATTTTTTCGCGCGCGGAATACAAACCGTATGTACCTTACTACATGTTTCGCACGGAACGTCACTAGCTCACTTCCGGTCAAAGTACGCTTCCGTTCACATTGCACGTTAGAGCGGTCCAAACCGCTCTTAATAAGACCCGTTCCTCAAGACCACCTCCCGAGGTGGTCTTCTGGAGCGGTCCAGAAGTCCACTTCCTGGACCACTTTGACCGTTCTCACTCACCTAAGAACTGCTCCTGAGGAACGGGTCTTAGTTAGACCACTCCAACGAAGTGAATGAGAACGGGGTCTATGTCTCGCTTTTTTGCTATGCAGGCGAGACAAAAACCAACACAATACAATCAAGCAAAATATCAATTTTCCTACATGAGTGAGAGACATGGAAGATTTATTTATTGTTGGCCCAATGATTCAATGTACAAAACATGGTACACATTTCCATTGCAATATTCTTAAACTAAACAAGGGGATAGTTTGAGTGTGTTCTGGTAATCAAACACTGAATATAATAACTTATACACATAACTGGTAGTTTTCATAATCAAGTTTTGCATGTCATATCACATGGCTTAAATAAAAATTTATAAAAAAATCAAATACACTTGATTTGAAACAATAAAAGTATGCAGCTCCTAAACCCATAGCATTGCACTTTGCTTCATGAAGATTATTGTCCTGATAAACCAAACACAGATTTATAATGTGCCAGCAGTTTTAGACAAATATCTATTGTACATGTACATAAAGGTGTAGAAATTACATTTACTGAAGTATATTTACTTTTTAGAGTGACATTAATTGATGTTGAATACATCCTTAAGGGTTTCGTTAAAAAATTCCTATTCGTGTATACAGGAAAGTTTTCTACTTCCTAAATTTCTAAAAAATGAAATGTGCTACATAAACATGAATTGAGAGTTTCCTATTTACAATGTACCATTAATAGACTAATATTCTAATTGCACTATGTTAGCTACACAGTTTTATAAGATACCATAGTGGCAGTATCTGGCAGCATAATGCAAGATTTTTAAAATGTAAATACCGGAAAATAACGAGAAAATCCTAAATCAATGTAGACATATTTCAAAATAATGTAGACACTGACACTGATTGAATACAAGTGCATTAAATAGCAGCATCTATCTATACTTATAATTGGAGAAGTATAGAGTGATACAGAAACAATGTTTAAAATAAATTTCCATAAACACATAAGTTGTTGTACTTCTCCAATAACAGTAAATAGCTAAATTTACACTACTAACATATCTGGGGGATGCTCCAGCCTCAAGGCAACTACAAAGTACTGCTATTAGAATTATATAAAGCTGATATGTCACCTAGTATACCAGCATGAAACCCCAAATTTACCGAGCAAAATATTATCTTCCGGTGCCATTTAAATTTAAAAAAAGAAAGAAAAACCTTTCCTCATAAAAATTTCGTAGTATAAAGCAACAATCAAATAAAAAAGAAACTTGGCTTTAAAGGGGTTCAAATCACCAACTTGAGCCACAATGCTGGTATCCAACCAGTCCAAAATATAAAAGGAGATATTAAAAACGTTACATACCACAATAATACTCTTTCAAAATAAAAGTAAAAGGAAACACGGCTTAGACTTATAGCACTCCCCCAAAATGGAGGGAAGTTAAATCAAGAGATACTCTTTTGTACTGGCCTTCATAGTATTTTTTTGTAACCCTTCATTCTCTGTAATAGGGTGGATAAGACTTATATTTAATAAAAAACCTTCTGACCTTTTTATCATTTGTGGTGTCCAATCTTTCACCACACATGAATTACACAGAATATATTGATAAGAAATACACCCAAATGAATTAGACTATCATTATTTGACACTGCTGATACTATCTTTGATATTAATTTTACCATGTTATGCATGCACATGTGTATGATGTACATGTAAATACCCTTAAATTTATGAAAGATAGATGTATACTTGTTAACAAAGTTGGCCATTTTCCTTCTGCTTCGACACTCTAACACTGCACATTTTCTACTGACCAGAGTAATAAATAAATGCTACTGTAATTTACAACATTTAGAACAACTGGAACATTCAATAGTCTCTACTCTCTAATATAAGTTTTCAATGGGTCGGTGGTGAATTCCAAGAAGAAGAAAAAAAGTCTATAGTTTCCAAAAAGTTTTGCTTTGTCATTACTGAGTTGACAAAAAACGAGTACGAGTAGTACTAGCAAGGATTGGCAGAGAAGCAATTCAGCATGCTACAATAACATTCATAGTACATGTAGTACTCTCTGATATAAAACAATGTACAAGACTTATATCAGTAAAAGAGTAAGATATCAAGAAATAGAGACACAATGAACCAGTGTATCTCAAGAGGAATAGTCTGTACAGTATGGATTCATTTCCTCACAGTACTTTCACACTGCACAGAACTATACAATTATATACATCTATTTACAAAGTCATGTCAGTACTCTTTAAGATGGGAAATCATTGCAAGATTTAACAATAGTTTACATATTATGGCACTATTCTGGCTGGCACAATAATCCTACATTGACTGCAAGCAAAACATTTCAAATAATCCCTGTACCATGTCCTTTCATCTCTTTTATTGAGACATTTTGCCTTTATTAATACTGGCTAAATACACTACATCTACAGTACATCCATGTTAACCCGTTAAGGACCGACTCATTTACTGCTTGGCACATTTAACTTTTTATCTATGAAGTCCATATTCAGAAGCAGATGGATATCTTATAACAACTTCTATCCATTCCAAAATCACACTTGATGCTTATAATTTCTACAGTAAGAAAAATTTCACTTGCCAATCTTACTACGAATCTGATTCACGAAGTCGAAGTCGAAGAAAAAGAACATCAACAAGAAAAAGTAGAAGAAGAAGGAGGAGGAGGCGAAGGAGGAGGAGGAGGAGGAGGAGAAGGATGAGGAGGAGGGGAGAAGGAGAAGGAGAAGGAGAAGAAGAAGAAAAAGAAGATGATGATGATGATGAAGAAGATGATGATGAAGATGATGATGATGATGATGATGATGATGACGATGATGATGATGATGATGATGAAGAAAAAGAAGAAAAAGAAGAAGAAGAAGAAGTAGAAAATGAAAGCATTCAGGAGTTAAAGACATATAACATACATGTTTATCGCAAAATGTCGCAAAGTACAAAATTTTCCAGTCACAAAGCGGAATAAAAGTCTAGAAATAAACTACAAATACATCAACAAAATTATTTTGAATGAATCATCACCAAAAAAGAAACCATTTCGTCAAAAAAAATGAATACATCAATCAGAATACATTCTAGGTACATTCCTTGATCTAGAATATGCCACTTGTTACCTATCAACTCATGACTATTGAATCCAATGAGTTCAACTAATACCTATCTCAGTCAGGCAAACATGTCACATCTTCCTTGCTTTCTAGCAGAATACTTTATAGCGTTTCTTCCTTTCAATTATATTATAGATTTCAACCAGTTACTATATTTCATGCTCCATAGTCCGCCTTAACCAAATTTGTAACTTGTAGCGAGGATCAAACACTATACCTGTCCTCTGCCTAATGACAAACCTAACCCTTTACATTTCATGACAAAAGCGTGAAGCAATTGTCACTGAATCACCCCTCAAAACACCTCTCAATCATATGACCTGTATCATTTCATCCAAATAACCAAATCATTAATGTTGTTACTGCTATACTAGTCGAGTTGGAGTGAAATCCTTTGATTAAAAACATTGAAAAATTGTCTTATTTCTTCTTTACAAATGAAACAACAAAAATGTTCAAACTATATTCAGATAAAATATACAGTATGTATTGTAGATACAGGTTGAACTGGCCTATAATTTTTATAATAAATGTATTTCATCATTAGAACTGGCCAAGAATTTCCCTGTAATTATGTAAACACAGTATGTGCCCCTACTTTGTACTTAATTTTTATTTCAGGTATTGGTAAAAGAATAACTTTGAAGCAATGATATTGAGGAGCAGTCTAGGTTTAATTAATAATGTATGAGTTACATACAGTGTTCAGGATTACCTAGGTCATACTACCTTTCGATGGTTCATCACTTTGATATCCCTGAACAGTTTTGTTTATTTCTTTTTTGGTTTACTTTTGGAATTTTCAAACTTTGTGTACACCAAAAATAATAATACAATACTAAAAATAAACAAGATGGAGGGCAAAGATAAAACAAATAAACAACATCTGATTTTCGACACTTTTACTGTTTGTTTGGTTTTTTGGTGCCCCAAATATCATACTTCTTTTTATCTTGTCTAATGTTGAAATCTTTTCTTCTTCTTTTTTTTGAGAGAGAGCTATATCCTAATTCTGCACTTCTCAGTAAGCTAACATAGTACATATCTTTCTATACAGCATTTGAATGAGTTTTAGTATGAGGAATCCACTTACATGTACATTCAAGTTACCTTCCTCCTCATACTTAGATACTGAGTCTACCTGATTTATAGAAACTCATAAAACTGTGCATTGATGTCTGCGCTTCTTAGGAACTTTGGGAGGATAGAGGAAGACTCTAATAGCCTCCTCAAACACCATCTTAAGTCCTTTCTGAGTTAATGCTGAACATTCCAAGTACTTCACAGCATTGATTTCTTTATGCATCTGTATTCCCTACAAAAGAAGAAAAATAAAAACGTTTCTAAAATATAAACATTTCTCACATGGAACATATCACAGCTTGTAGCAATGAGGAAAGGAAATTAGAAATAAGTTGTGTACATGTTCATTTAGTTGGTTTATACTGTTTTTTCCCAAAACAGATTACTGTATTAACCAGCAGTAACAGTTCTTTACTAATGGATAAGTAAGGTAGCATTATGATCTGTTTGAACCCACAGGGTAATAAACTCATATACATAACACACAGATAACACCCTTCTGGCTCCAAACAGAAGGCTCTAATTGGTCTATATCATACCTCTCTCACAATATAATATTCTGTAGAATAAATAATGGCAGTATTTATCATTTGGTGCATATATTATGAATTTGAGATCCTCTTTTGAAATTGTCCATCGACTTTGTTTTGATATGAGTACGAGTAACATGCCATGATTTTTACACCAAAGAGATAATGAATTTTCATTGAATTAAATTGTATATAAATATTTTATAAAATGTATATAATAATACTGATATTGGGGATTAAAATGAGACTAGTAGCCAGGATAATAAAGAAATCATTAGTAATAAAATCAAATAAGTATGAGTTTATTGATGGTATCTGCAGTTCCTTACCTGCTGATATCTGATTGGATATTGGTTCCTATCTTTGAGTTTATTGGTGGTATCTGAAGATTCTTACATGCTGATATCTGATGGATATTGGTTCCTATCTTGGAGTGTATTGATGGTATCCGAAGATTCTTACCTGCTGATATCTGATGGGATTTTGGTTCCTATCTTTGAGTTTATTGATGGTATGTGAAGAATCTTACCTGCTGATATCTGATGGGATATTGGTTCCTATCTTTGAGTTTATTGATGGTATCTGAAGATTCTTACATGCTGATATCTGATGGGATATTGGTTCCTATCTTTGAGTGTATTGATGGTATCCGAAGATTCTTACCTGCTGATATCTGATGGGATTTTGGTTCCTATCTTTGAGTTTATTGATGGTATGTGAAGAATCTTACCTGCTGATATCTGATGGGATATTGGTTCCTATCTTTGAGTTTATTGATGGTATGTGAAGAATCTTACCTGCTGATATCTGATGGGATATTGGTTCCTATCTTTGAGTTTATTGGTGGTATCTGAAGATTCTTACATGCTGATATCTGATTGGATATTGGTTCCTATCTTTGAGTGTATTGATGGTATCCGAAGATTCTTACCTGCTGATATCTGATGGGATTTTGGTTCCTATCTTTGAGTTTATTGATGGTATGTGAAGAATCTTACCTGCTGATATCTGATGGGATATTGGTTCCTATCTTTGAGTTTATTGATGGTATCTGAAGATTCTTACCTGCTGATATCTGATTGGATATTGGTTCCTATCTTCGAGTTTATTGATGGTATCTGAAGATTCTTACCTGCTGATATCTGATTGAATATTGGTTCCTATCTTTGAGTTTATTGATGGTATCTGAAGATTCTTACCTGCTGATATCTGATTGGATATTGGTTCCTATCTTTGAGTTTATTGATGGTATCTGAAGATTCTTACCTGCTGATATCTGATTAGATATTGGTTCCTATCTTTGAGTTTATTGATGGTATCTGAAGATTCTTACCTGCTGATATCTGATTGGATATTGGTTCCTAAATTTGAGTTTATTGATGGTATCTGAAGATTCTTACCTGCTGATATCTGATTGGATATTGGTTCCTATCTTTGAGTTTATTGATGGTATCTGAAGATTCTTACCTGCTGATATCTGATTGGATATTGGTTCCTTTCTTTGAGTTTATTGATGGTATCTGGATCATCTCTCAAATCTAGTTTAGTTCCTACTAGGATGATTGGAGTGCTTGGACAGTGGTGTCTCACTTCTGGTGCCCACTGTTCAATGAAAAAATTATAACATAATATTAGTCCAAATTATCTCAACTAAAAGTAAACAGAGCATAAATTCAACAAATTCATTCAACCATTATGATTAACAAATATGAATCAGTAAACAATCAAATAACACAATACAAATTAATTCAACTTAAAGTAAACAGAGCATAAATTCATCAAACTCATTCATGCATTATGATTACCGGTAACAAATATGAATCAGTAAAGAATAAAATAACACAGCACAAAAAATAATTGAACTTAAAGTAAACACAGCATAAATTTAACAAATTCATTGATGCATTATGATTAACAAATATGACTCAGTACTGCAAAAGAAAATAATACAAAACAGACTACAATATACAATTACTTCATTTGAACAGATAATATATATTCATGTACATGTAATGTACTTTGACACAAGGGAATGGCAACAAAGTGTCTCATCCACCTGTGACCAAGCTTCATAAATGTTTCTAAAGAGCGTCCCTGACCCAAGTTTGGTTGCATGTGGTACAAAGTATGCAAATTTACTAGTCATAAGAGAGTCTTTGGCATAAAAACTTACATTTAACCTAAAATTACCTTCGGACACAACCTCCGACATCACTAGAACATGAAAATCTCCTAAATGCATTCATTTGTAATTTTCTCTGTACATCTTAAAACAAGTCATCACATTTTTTGTCACCTCAAATTTTAACATAATAATTGAACACCTGTGACACATTTTGTTCATTTGTATCCTGTTCACTTCATAGAATGATTCATATCCCTGTTTTTACTGCTTGATACCACATATTACTGGATATTAGATTGAAAGTTAAAGAAGACTGTTCAAAGTTCAACAATCAAATATGTGAATGCTATTATCATGAGTATGGTCTTACCTTCGCTCTGACGTTCTCATATGATACTGGACTCACCACAGAAAAACAGATCAAAAATACATCCTGTAAGACAAAAAGAAAAACATGTAAATAGGCTTAAAATCATCTTCACTGTAAATAATTTCATATTGAAATAAGCTGCCTAGATAAACATGTACCCAAGTGATATGGATGTATTGGTAAGCTTTGCTTAATTGGAAGTTGAGTTGATTTTTACATGTATGAATACATAATATTTCTGATTTTAAAAAGCAAAAGTATGAAATTATACACAGACTTTTTAAAGTTCAAATTTTAAACTTCAATGACACTGTGCAGTGCTCAACACATAAGATTAACAACTAAATAATTCATACTCTTACCATGTTTTTTAATGTTTTAAGTATGTGAAAAATTGACTCGTCCCACATTCATATTTCTTAAGAATGTGACATATCAAAGGTCACATCTAAAAGTAATTCAACCAGTCCACCTCTCATTCTTGACTTACAAAAAACACAAAAACATCACAATTACGAATACGAGGGGTATCAATGATTTAGTTGTTAATACTGTACATGCAACCTTTTATCCAGAAAGTCATAACCGAAGAGGGCTTGAGCTGCTAGAGGGAGAAGTGCCCCCTCAACTGAATGGCAAAACAATAACAATTAAAACTAAAATTAAATAATAAAAAGTGGAGGGGGAAAAAGTGGAGGGGGAAAAAGAAGATGGTCAAAATGAGAAGAACAAAAATCCATGAGAAATATGACATCAGCTGCAGAGAACATGACTTACTGTTTGGGGGTAAGACAAAGGTCGTAACCTATCGTAGTCTTCCTGTCCAGCAGTATCCCATAATCCTAGGTTGACAGGCTTACCATCCACCATCACATTAGCAGAGTAATTGTCAAAGCTACAGAGAAAAAATGATAAAGAAATCTGATGATTGTCTTACAATGGATGCAAATGATGCATCAATCTTATTGAACTTTAGCACATATTATACAGGATCCAGTCAATATGTAAGTGTTGGGTTCACAATGGCTTCTGGTTTTGTCAATATTTGTTCATTATGACAAATCCAAAATTTTCATCCTCGTCAAGAAGAAATGTTTGCTGAGAGACAGCATCTACCAGTATGCCTACAGTAGGCTTAAGACTACATATGTATGTATGTACCTTGATGTGCATTGGGAATGTATAATTATACTTTCATGTTTAATAATCATTAATCTGCAGGTTTTAAGGCAAGGCACACTTTACAGTAATGAATCTCACATTTCTTAATCTGAAGGCCTTTCAAAATTCAATTTCTAACCTAAAGGCAGGATATAAAGGTGTTTTTTTTTACCCCAATCTCCACAAAAAGGCTGCCCAAAATAGCATTTTGGCACTACCATATCTTTATTCTGCTTTAGATTTTCATATCTCTTCCCAATTAATGAATTAATTAACAATAACAAGTTCAAAGTCTCATATGTGCACTTTTCACAGACGGAAATTTTCTTATGTGATGTGATCTTAATTTATCATAAGCACTATTCTGTTGTGATGTTATCATATTTTCACAAAAGGAATATGTTCTTTCATGATCTTATTATACTTACACAGTGGGAATGTATTCGCCAGGAAAAGCATTTGTGGTGTAGCTGATGAGAAGACATGTCTTACCAACCGCTCTGCACAGAAACATTAAAATAAAGGAACAGTAAAAATAACACCATCTTGATTGTTGCTAAAAACTACAACTGGGCACGATGCTAACAAATATGGTAGTGGTACCTCTGCATAATTATCACCATAATAACAACAACTACAAGTAGCTTTCACTTTAAAAAATCCCGGACTGCAGCCCAATGAATGAGTGCACAGAAATAGATTAAGGATTAGAAATCTATTTTTGCAAAGACCAAAGTCAAATTACATGGCAAAATTTTCTTGGCTGTATTTCGACACAATTTTTTATACTTAACTTAAAGTTTTACAGGGATTAATATCAGACTGAGCATCATATTCATAAGACTAAATCCTCTTCAATTTCAATTTTCAAGTCATTTCACTTTTAATTGTAGGTAAGTAAACAACAACAGACATGGATCTAGCTCTAGTGAGTCTAGTGTAGCATGCAAAGTCAAGCCAAGCCCAAGCCATCATGATTCAAGAATCGAAGCTCGACATGGTCTCAAAATAGTGCCAAAATAGTGCCCAGAAATAAAATAACATCCATGCCCTACCCTAGTCACTAGTCTTGAGTTTGCCACACATTTCATTAAGTGACTAATTTTCAAGGCTTTGGCCTAAATTAGCCACTCATCCAATGTACGGGTTACTTGCTTCAGCCAGTATTTAGGTAGACTCTAGGCCTATCTACCGTAAATGTTGTTTACGTGTAGCACTATGACTGTGTACTGCACTGTGCATTTGCATGTACCCTATGCTAAACCGTAGGCGTAAACAGTAATGACTAAGAATGAGATGGGAGTAGGACTACTACTCTGAATGATTCTTACCCGTCACCTACAACAACGCATTTGATGGATTGCATTCTTTCAAACACAATCTAGCAGACAACAGGAACAGAAGTCCCTTTGATCCAACACAAGAGAGTCCGGGAAGAGATGTTATCTAGAGGTAGAAGAAAAGTTCAGCGAGCATAGCATACGAGCCAAGATCACGAATCGCCCATAGAGTTCATTCCGAGCCAAAGAGTTTAATCAGCGAAGAGTGCACAGTTCCGAAACTAAGCACGTGAGCATACTGTGGTATGGGTATACCACAGTGAGCTCTCGTACACGGTACAACCGAGATTTGTACAATGGCAGTTGGGGGAGGGGGGGGGGGGGGGGGGGGGTTGCCCCTTTTGTGGTAAACATTCAATACAATTATGTATTCCCTGAGATTTAGCGGGGTCTGAGCCTCAGTAATACCATTTATGAATGATCTTGACATTTTAAGAAAAGTCAAAGAAATATTTATGGATGATGGAAATTATGATAAATTTTACTGTTTTCACTTTTAGAGTCTATAGGGGTCTGGAAAAGCATATATGTTTATGATGGGGGGGGGGGGGGGATTTCTTCAAAAGTTGAGTCTTCATTTTATCCTTTCCCAGAGTCTAAAATGTCATGAGATCGAGTCACATTTTACATAGTTTTCATGAAACAAAAGGGGACATATAATTAATTTTAAAATCTTGTTTTCACGTGTAAGCTAATTATGGCAGCCTCATGGAGTCATATAGTCCCTAGGATTTATACGGGAATCATTCTTCAAATTGTATGTTATTCACATTTTACATAATTTCAAGGAATGCCAGGGTATATACTAGCTTTCATCAATCTTATAATCATTGTAAAAGGTTTTAACATGTTTTTCGAACTCTCCTTCATTGCTTTTGTGCAAAAAAAAATCAGATTATTAAAGGATATAGTAAGGTATGAAATACATGTATAGGAAAATGAGACATATTTTTACTTTCCGGGACCGTTTGTTACACGTCAACCTCCGCCTCGCCTGCCGAGCGTACTACGGAAGTAAGTCAGAGTAAGATGTCTACTAAAGGTCTTTGTCCGAGATACATATACATAATTACACGCACTTGTCTCACCTAGCTAGCTCCCTGCTCTAGCTCAGCTCCATGTATATGTATGTACGTAAATGGACGCGGCGCGGGGAATCGACGGGGTCCGCGCGTCTAAGTTTTTTTTTTTCGGGGGTGGGGCGGGTGAAAGCTTTTTTTTTCTTCGGGGGTGGGGGGGGGGGGGGGGGTACTACTGGGATTCTTGCATTCATTTTCATACTTTGCTTTGTTCATAATCAATTTTTTTTTTTGGACGGGGGGGGGGGGGGGGGGGAGGGCCTTAGGATTTTTTGAGCCCTGATTAGCGATCCCATAATCTCCCCACCTAAGAAAATTGTGATAGAATTTTTTTTTATCCATAATGATGTACACAGTACTGGCGGAGATCCTAAGAAAATTCAACCATAAAAGAGGTAGGCCTATATAGTCTTTTGTTTGTGTTTTTTGCACAGGCTTATAGCATTATAGGCCTGTCTGTAAAGAGTAGGCTACATAAACATGAGAAGCCTAAAGGCCCTTGATTCTTGAAGATTTTGGTATGAATCATATAAACCCTGTAGATTTCTTTTTTAAGGAAAACAGGAGGAAAAAAATACATATGTGTATCCAGTTATTTATCATTAGGCCTTCCAATTACTTACCAAAATAATAGTTTCACTGATTTGATGAAACCAATGTCATTATTACATAAGGGGTGGCCCAATTAAAGGTAGGAAAAATAAAAAAAATTAAACAATTCACTCTATATCTTTTTTTTTCCTTTTTATTCGGGGTGAAAATTGGATGGAGGACTGCAGCCCACCAACCCCAGTGTCGAGTGTATTGTATGTGTGTACTCTTTATATGGTATATCAATTAACAAGAACATGTGCCCCCTTCCCCATCCAATGCCTGGTGAAATTTAAATTAAGATTGAGAAAAAACAGACGAAATAAGAGAGAGAAAAGAAGGGAGGGGGATAGGTAATGCCACTGAAGGGACTTGCCCCCAAATTCACCTCGTTGAAGGGGGGGGGGGGGAGGGTGCATTATTGATCAAGCAACAAAATACATGAAGTGATCTAAAATTTGGAATATATAAACATCAATTTGTGTAAATATAAGCAGGGTAGCTAGGTCATAACTTTGTGAGAAGGGGGGGGGGGGTTCAATGATAGAGGGATCAAGACTACACCTCTCGATCTCCTCCCATCCTCATATATACATGAATTTCATACATCAGTCATTTTCCCCCAACAATTAACTAATGTGTGATTAGTTGATCTTTATCTCTCTGAATAAAATGTAATAGAATAATAGTAATATAAACAAAGATTGTCTCCCTCTCTCTCTCTCTCTCTCTCTCTCTCTCTCTCTCTCTCTCTCACACACACAATCAAATATCTTTCATCTAGGTGACCATAGGCGCCGGAAGTGGGGGGGGGGGGGGCAGGGGGCAGTTGCCCCCCAACCAAAAAGGTGGGGGGCAAAACGCATTTTTATCCCCCCAAAACGCCCCCTCCCCCCCAAAAAAAAACAGTAAAGGAGTAAAGATGGTTTGTATTTTTAACCCCAACGGAACATAACAGTAATAAAAACTTCAATTAAATCACATGTAAAATTCTATTCAAAGAAAAGGAAAGTTAACAGGAATTAAATTTCCTAAACATTGCGCATGCCACCTATATTAATCAGTGGAGGTTTTCATAATATCGATACGCGCATATCGTGGACATATTGTGAGAGAATGGGAAAGCGTGTCTGTTTTTTGCTATAGGGGTGAGAAGACATGAGCCCCTGAACACTAGCGTACTGATGGGCAGGTTCGTAGCCACGGGGGGGGGGGGGGGGGGGGGGGAAGGCACGGTTGAACTTTTTGAGACCCCTCCCCAGGACGTCGATCAATAACATGTATGTGCCCCCCCCCCCCAAACATCAAACTCTGGCTACGGCCCTGCTGATGGGGGGGGGGGGGGGGTCATTCCTTTTTATGCGTTTGTTGGAAAATTAGAAATTCCCAAATTTACAGTCGGGCGAAAAAATATGCTTATTTAGAAGCCTTTATGTTATGGTTTGCAAAACCCCTCTCACTTTTTGAAAAAGTATATTACAGAGAAAAAGAAAGAAATAGAGACCTGCCAATGTCACAAATGTGGTATCAAAATATGCTCATCTGACCGTAATTAAATGCCTAAAACCCCAGAGCTTCCGGACCCCACCAAGGGTCCTAAGGCGGTCCCCTGGGTGCTCATCTGACCGTAATTAAATATCTAAAACCCCTGAGCTTCCGGGGCCTCTGCCCCCTGGACCCCACCAAGGGCCCTAAGGCAGGCCCTTGGATGCTCATCTGACCATAGTTAAATATTAAAACCTTTGAACTTCCGGGAACTCTGCCCCCTTGACCACATTAATGGCCTTAAAGAGGGCTCCTGGATGCTTATCTAACCGTAATTAAATACCTTAAACCCTGAGCTTCCGGGGGCTCTGCTCCCTGGACTCTCCGCCAATAAGGGACCTACCAGTGTCACAAATTAGGTTTCTAAATATGCTTATCTGACCGTAATTTAATGCCTAAAAACCCTGAGCTTCCGGGGGCTCAGGCCCTGGACCCAACGCCAATTTACGCTCTACCTGATCGTTAATACGCCACTTTGTAAAACGTTCCGCGGGGCCTGCATATAATGTGTAAGAGTGGTGGTTTAAGCAGATTTTTCTTCTGTCCCCCCCTTCCAAACGTTTTTGCTCAATACGTCACTGCCCCTGGAAGGTGAGCCCCTGGAATGTTTGCCCCCCCCCCCAATCCCAAACTGCTTCTGGCGCGCCTGGTCAGATGAGGATGAGGTTGGGAGGAGGGGGGTGGTGGGGGGGGGGGGGGGGTTTAAGAAATTTGGAAGAGAGAGGGAGAGAAAAAGAAAGAAAAATAGGGAGACGATAGAGACAAAGACAGAGAACTATAAACGGTGAGACAAAGTAGAGAATGAAGGGATGAGAAAAAGAGAAGGGCGCGAAAGAGATAGTGAGGGGGTAATAGAAATATATTGAAAAGGAGAGAGTGAGAGAGAGCGGTGAGATGAGAAAGAGGGAGAGAGAGAGAGAGAGAGAGGGGAAAAAAGGTATGGAGAAAGAGAGCGAGGGGAGTAGGACGAGGAAAAGGATAGAGAGATAAAGAGTGAGTGAGAGAGAAAGCTAGATAGAGAGAGAGAGATACTGTGTGAGGTGGAAACAGGAGGGGACGGACGGAAAAGCTTTTATGAAATAATTCATTCTTACAAAGTAGTTTGGCAACTTTGCAACGTTGACTAATCTTTGCATCCTCAGGATGCCAATCACTAGGATAAACAATAATGCCGTTACCAAGGTAATCAATGTTATTCTTCATCGGCTGGCATCTGCTACAAGACCAAAAACAGGGAGTCTGCATGCCGCATTTGTTTTCCATTAGAGGACATTTGGTACTTTGGGTACTCTTTGAACAAGTGAACTATGAAATTTTATACGATTAAATCACGATTCTTAGCAATCTTTTATTGGATTTTTGGACCCCGTCTGGCAAAACTTGCGATTTCGCGACGTGTCATTGACAGCCGTTCAGAAACGAACAAATTTGTAAATCGATCAAGAACCCATATTTTTGGTTGAAGATTCATTAAGCGGCTCGTCTTTTACCGTAATGTCGACATTCTCTTTGGTTATTTTTGTTGTATCTTTTTCGTTTTCTATTTACGTAGGACGAGTTGAGTATCCAAATACAATGTATTCATATTACGTGCATAGAATTATAAGAAATAGCATCCATAATAATCAAAATCGTCTAAACTAAAATGTAATGAATCACATATTATTCTAAAAGAATGTACGGTTTGTTAAGGCCTTATATTATCATAATTTCTGGACCTGTAAAAAGGATAGAACTATTAAATTAATGGCTCTGAATACAGCGATCCGTCCGTATTATTTTTAGGGAACTATTATTATTTGTTAATGTTTAGAGGATATGGTCAGATGGGGATAAGGTTAGGAGGGGGGGGGGGGGGTTAAGAAATTTGGAAGAGAGAGAGAGAAAAAAAATAGGGAGACGATAGAGACAAAGACAGAAAACTATAAACGGTGAGACAAAGTAGAGAATGAAGGAATTAGAAAAAGAGAAGGGCGCGAAAGAGATAGTGAGGGGGTAATAGAAATATATTGAAAAGGAGTGAGTGAGAGAAAGCGGTGAGATGAGAAAGAGGGAGAGAGAGAGAGAGAGGGGGGGGGCAGGTATTAGGAGAAAGAGAGCGAGGGGAGTATAGGAGGATGAGGAAAAGGATAGAGAGATAATTAAAGAGTGAGTGAGAGAGAAAGAGGGAGAGAAAAAATAAGTGACCTGCCAATGTCACAAATGTGGTATCAAAATATGCTCATCTGACCGTAATTAAATGCCTAAAACCCCAGAGCTTCCGGGCGCTCTACCCCCTGGACCCCACCAAGGGCCCTAAGGCGGGCCCCTGGATGCTCATCTGGCCGTATTTAAATACCTAAAACCCCTAGGCTTCCGGGGGCTCTGTCCCCTGGACCCCACTAAGGGCCCTAAGGCGGCCCCTGGATGCTCATCTGACCATAGTTTAATATTAAAACCTCTGAATTTCCAGGGGCTCTGCTCCCTGGACTCTCCACCAATAAGGGACCTGCCAGTGTCACAAATAAGGTATCTAAATATGCTTATCTGACCGTAATTTAATGCCTAAAAGCCCTGAGCTTCCGGGGGCTCAGCCCCTTGACCCCAAGCCGAGGCTCGATCAGGCCCTGGATCCAAAGCCAATTTACGCTCTACCTGATCGTTAATACTCCACTTTGAAAAACTTTCCACAGGGCCTGCATGTAATAATAATAATAATAATAATGAACATTTGTATAGCGCCTTTTCTACAAGTAGATACAAAGCGCTTAATTAACATATACAATGAACAATTAACAAAATAGAAAGATGCTTAACAACAGACATGTATGTAACAATATAGGAATGAACAAAATAAAGGGTAAGACAGGTAATAGAAGAGCAAGAACAAGTGCTGGTAAGCGGGCATTAGTTAAACAAGTGTGTTTTGAGGTGTTTTTTGAAAGTCATTAGAGAATCAGCAGTTTGTACAAAATTGGGGAGATTGTTCCATGATTTTGGAGCAGTGGCTATGAATGCCCGCTTACCAGCATTGGTTCAACACCTTGGGGTATCTAAAACTGTACGAGTGTTGGATCTTAGGTTGTAACTGGAGTGCCTAACATGAACGAGATCAGTAAGATATGAGGGAGAGAGATAGTGTAACGACTTAAAGACAAGGGTGGAGGTCTTGAAGAGCACTCGCTGTTGAATAGGAAGCCAATGCAGAGAGTTCAACAAGGGCGTGGTGTGTGTGCTCTTTGGTTGTTTGAAGATGAGGCGTGCAGACTGGTTCTGGAGAAGCTGAAGACGGTGAATGTTCTTTGCTGTTGTGCCACTCAACAAACTGTTACAGTAATCAAGACGAGATAAAACTAAGGCACGGACTGCAGCATGAGTGGTACTTTCGTCAAGATATTTTCTAATCCTGCATAAGTTCCGGATATGATATTTGACAGTCCTGACTACATTTGAGACGTGAACATCTGGCAGCATGAGGTTGTCAAAGACGACGCCAAGAATACGCAGCTTCTTTGACGGTTTAATCACAGTCCCATCATGAAGAGTTAGAGTGAAGTTCTGGAGCAATCGTTGATGGACTTTCGAAGCAAAGACTACTAACTCAGTTTTGTCTTGATTAAGTTTCAATTTGTTGGATGTCATCCACCTGTAGACATCTCTCATTGCATCCCGTAGTCTGCATGCAGCATATGATCAACAGAGTCCTGGCTAGAAGGGTCGCATTGTATATACACCTGTATATCGTCGGCGTATACATGATAGCCTATGCCATGACTGTAAAGGATATCAGATACAGGTTTCGAGTAGAGCGTAAAGAGCAGCGGACCCATCACCGATCCTTGCGGGACACCGAACTCCAACCTGGTGTCTAGTGATTTCACTCCTCTGATTCGCACATGTGATAGTCGGTTGCTCAGGTATGATCTAAACCAGTGCAGTGCTGTGCCAGAGACACCATATTCATCCCGAAGCCTTGTCAGCAAGATCGTGTGGTCAAGAGTGTCAAATGCAGATGACATATCTAGCGACAGTAGAATGACGCATTTCCGATCATCCAGAGCACATAGGATATCATTCTGAAGACTCACCAATGCAGTCTCAGTACTGTGATTTTTCCTATATGCAGACTGTTTAGGATCACCAAGGCTGTTGTCTTCCAAGTAGTTGGCTAACTGTGATGAGACGACTCTTTCCATAAGCTTGGCTACAAACCTTATGTTCGAAATGGGCCTGTAGTTTTTCATTCTTTCTTTGTCAAGTCCTGGCTTCTTCAAGACTGGTGTCACAGATGCAACACCTAGAGATGATGGAAAATCGCCTGATGCCAACGATGCGTTGATGATATGCGTCAGCTTTGGCAGCAAAACAGGAAGGTGACGCTTCAGGAGCCACGTTGGAAGAGGATCCAAAGGACATGTCTTGTTGGGTGAGCGTTTGATCAGCCTCTGAACCTCCTCTGATGTGACCAACTGGAACTCCACGAATGAAGGGGCTGAGATTGCCATACCATTTGGATTGTCCAATTCGTCAACGTTTAAGTCATCTATACATCTCCGCAAGTCTCTGATCTTCTCACTGAAGAATGTGCAGAATGTAGAGGCAAGCTCAACTGATGAATCAGCATCTGGGAGAAATCGTTTACTCTTATTCAGAAGATGCTTCAGTTCTCTATACATGTCCTTTGGAGTACTTTCAGAAAACAGGTCATTGTAGTAGAACCGTTTAGCCCTTGACAGAGCTTCAGCTGCAGCAGCTTTAGCTTCACAGTAGGCCGATCGATCGCTATCGGGATTGACTTTAAGGGATTTACGCCATTTCCGCTCCTGTCTTCTGCGTTCACGTCTTGCAGCATCAACTTCTTCGTTGTACCACTTTGGCCTGTGACGAACTTGCGTGGTGCGGAGACATACAGGCGCATGGATATCCAGGACACACTCCATGTCTCTGTCAAGATTGAGCACGCAACTGTTTACATCCTCTGCCAAGGGTTGATTGTCAAGGAAACTGGCAAGATCATCGGCAAACAACGTGTGATCAATGTTGCTGAATTTGCGATATTCCTGTGGCCGTTCATCTGTAGATGGTCTTTCACCACGGATCATGCAGCTCACGGCTACATGGTCGGACATGAGGCTCGGATCTGTACGTATGGAACAGAGAAGATTCTCATCTTCCCTCGCAATCACTACATCCAATGTATGGCCGTGTCGATGAGTTGGCTTTGATATGTACTGCTTGAGTCCTGCGGATTTCAGCGTATCTACAACGCGTGCGACATCAGGTCTCTCGGGACAGTCATAATGGACATTCAAATCACCTAAAAGCAGTAGCTTCCCAGGAGTCTGATTCATGTCATCGATGAAGCTGTCAAATTCTTCGAGGAACGTAGATGTTTTCAGACCATTCGTGCTGGATGGTGGTGGACGGTACACAGCAACATAGTTCACCGAACGAGCTTTGTCTGTAATAATGCAGTGCTCAAATGTTGTAAAATGAGGATCAATAGTCACTTGATGTAGTTTCAGATCAGACCTGACCAGAGCACCAACACCTCCGCCACGACCGCCAGTGCGTGGAACATTGGTGAAAGTATAACCAGGTGGTGTTACCTCAGCAATTACAGCGTCATCATTTTCAGTCAGCCATGTCTCTGTGACAAACATTACATCAACTTCGTTGGTGATGACATAGTCTTGAAGAAGAAGAGATTTATGTCTCACTGAGCGAGCATTCCAGTGACATACATGCTGTAATGTTTCATTTCCGACATTTGCATCAATAACAACATTGGAAGAGTCAATTCCCGTTGACCTCACTAGTTGTAACGTGCAAGAGTGGTGGTTTATGCAGATTTTTCTTCCCCCCCCCCCTTCCAAATGTTTTTGCTCATTACGTCACTGCCCCTGGAAGGTGAGCCCCCTGGAATGTTTGCCCCCCCCCCCCCCCAATCCCAAACTGCTTCTGGCGCGCATGTAGGTGACAGATAGCAAGGTACTCGCTCAGTAATGAAGAAACCTAGACACACAGTAACAAATTAATCCTCCCATCATTAAATAAATGTATTCCTTAATTTCCTTTTCAGCCACCAAGATGAGGGACATCTCTCAGTACAAAACAAAGATAGAGCTAACAGCTAAGGAATTCATAAAGTTACCATTGTGTATCTTTTATAATTTTAAAAAAGTCATACATTTTTCATTTCATTTTATCAAATCTTTTTCAAAAATATTTCTGCAAGTCTGATTACAGTACTAACTTAAATCGATTAGACTTGTTCTTCATTACAATTAAAAAAAAATTAAATCCCATACAGGTACTGGCAAATCTTGACTACATGGTACAGTGCAACCTGTATAGAATCATTCTGTACTTCTAGATCAGCTCAACATGAAAGCAACCGTTTGTAATAATGTAATTTAAAATACACACATACATATTAGGAAGTAGACGCCAATCAAAGGAATCAGGTATATTATTAGTAATGCAAAATTATTTTTGTTCTTGTCTTTTCTTAAAACTTGAAGGAGCTTGTTATCAAAGAACTAGGAGCAGAGAATGATGTTAGGCTGCTTGCCCTCAGGTACATTATATGAATTATTCACTCAGTGTGTGTAATGAAGAAAAGAGACCACAAGCAGATTCAGATGTCTGTATTTATTACAAAATATTCACATGAACCGTCAAAAACAAAACTCTTAGCTTTACAGTGTAATTGGAAGTGTGCTACAGACAGAGACATTGACATGCCTACCGGAAATGTCTTATTACCTTTCAACACATTAAGTGACCTTTAACCTTTAATCTTTCACATTACCATATCATGAAAGTTCCCAAAATGCAATGACTCATGATACATATTGGAGGTCAACTTTTCATGACTGATGCTTTTATACTTGTCAGCATTAGTTGACCTATGATTTCCTTCAACTTTGACCTTTGACAGTAGCATAACAGCCTAATTACCCAGGAAATCTTTGAACCAAGTTTTGCGGTAACTGGAAAAAGTGGTTGCGATGAGAAGACTTTGTACATACACTTCCTAAGTTGGTAATGGATAATGGCAAATAAGAGCAAGCGATAAGGTCTTTGTTTGACACGTGGTATGGCATTATACATATGGTGGGGTTCAGGTTTTGTTAAACATTTTCTTTCTAAATTTGCCTCTGAACCTTCTAACAAAAATAACATCTGGATTTTGTCCCCATAGGGTACCACTTGTACCATCCCTCTAGCAAGTCACACATATACTAAAAACCAAATTCAAAGAAAAAAACATTTTTCATCAGGATTTTTTCTCCAACCAGCAGGAATCCTGAAATTCTCGCATCCGATCCTGTAAACTGAAGCATGTATAGAGTTCTGCATTGTTGCCCGCACAATGGTCAGAACTCGGCTCTATCTATGAATTCTAGCTTATCATAGCAAAGATACATGTAAGTATTGCTAAGTGAACTAGTAAAATATTGTGGCCTTCTCATTCAAGCCAACTCTTGGAAAACCTGTTCAGCATTTCTTTGACATCTATAATACAACGTAATACTACACAGTTTCATGTTCTCTGTTATGCAATGTTTTTTACTTTCAGGAATACAAAGAGTAAATAAAGATGTGGTTTTTACTTTCAAGAACCATGTTAAGAAGAAGTTAAAATATGGTCATTTTGATTTGAATTTCTACAACCCATATGTTGTTAAAAATAAAGATGTAAAGAATAAATAAAAATGTGGTTTTTACTTACCACGTTGAGAATTTAAAATGTGGTCAGTTTGCTTTGACCTTTTACGACCAATATATTGGTAAAAACAAAGATGTGTTCACATTGCTTTTACTTTCTTGGTCCCACACATTGTTGATATGTAAAGATTTGTTTACATTGCTTTTACTTTCTTCGAAACCACACATTGTAGATATGCAAAGATTTGTTTACATTGCTTTTACTTTCTTCGAAACCACACATTGTAGATATGTAAAGATTTGTTTACATTGCTTTTACTTTCTTGGACCCACACATTGTAGATATGTAAAGATTTGTTTACATTGCTACTACTTTCTTTGACCCACACATTGTTGATATGTAAAGGTCAGTTTACTCCAGCATCATCTTTCACTTTCTGGAACCCCGATATTGTTGAGAAATAGCGATCATTCGCTTCCTGAGCTTTGAAATCGTTTGCATGTGGGTTTACAATCTCCAGACCCTGTATAAGAAGAAAAAAAAGGGGGAAAAAAAGCATTTTTGAAAAGTAAGCTGAATGAAATTTGAAAAATATTCTGTACTTGCTTTACTTTGCTGACTTTTAGTAGAAATAAACTTTGTGAAATGGTAGGATACATTTACACAGGACACTGTTATATTGTGAACACATTTACGCACATGTTTTTGTCTCAACTTGCCAAGTATTGAAAAAAGTCTTCACATTTAAAAATTGTATTTCAAGATTACTTGTATTGTCCCAAAACTCACTCAAAGAAATTTCACATAGGTATTCTGAATGCTTTCGACATTACCATCACATTCCAGACTTGACCACCGCAAAGGATCTAAAATGGAACTGATAATATTGATTCCATCACATTCCAGACTAGAACATCACAAAGGATCTAAAATGGACCTGATAATATTAATAGCATCTACTAGCAGGTATACAAGATTGCCTACTTTGTTATGATTACCCCAACCAATGACAGGTATCTGAATCACGATTGTGGTTTTACTGCAGAGAATTCTGAAGATCAACTCTCTTCAATTGAAGGTAATATGTACCACTATTGGCGGAGTACAGAAGAGCAGTGTGGAACTCACCATTTTGGGCGACAAATACATCATTGTCAATGACTAGTAAATAAGTATTATGTTTAGACAATAAAAGGATTGCTAACCTGTAATGGGGTAAAGGCTATGCTGGATGATGTACCAGATGTCTCTCTTCCTCTCACCGTTGATCTCCCACCATGCATCTGCTGACGATGTAGTTGTCTCTGTTCAAGAAAAATAAAAATCATAAGTAAATATATGTTACAGATATTTGACATAAACTTTATTCAATTTGACAACTTTGATAACTAAATTTTGGTCATGTTCATGCTTAATAAATAATTTTAGGTTTCATGTAAAGAAGGAAGTCAGAGTTGAGGATTCCAGGTGGATCATGATGCTTAAAAGGAAAACAAAACATGTCATAGGGACCGATGGTGAGTAAATAAAACTGAAACAAGGAGCCACATTCTGAAAAATATGCATCTTTTATGATAAAAAATATTTTAATGGTCAAAACTGAAAAAGCACTGGATAAGAACTTCTTATTAGTCCTTGCATGGATGGCTCTTTTAAGTATGCATGCATACAGCCAGTTTTGCACCCCCCCTCTCTCTCTCTCTCTCTCTTCCCCTCCCTCCATCCCTTCTCTCTCCCTCCCCCCCCCCCCCTCTCTCTCTCCCTCCCACACTCCACCCTCCATCCCACCCTTCCTCCCTCCCCCTCTCTCTCTCTCTCTCTCTCTCTCTCTCTCCCTTTCCTCTTTATCTCTCTGAACTCACCTGCAAACTCTTGGATATTTTGACCTGTGTTTTGTTGTCGACCTGTGCAGCTCGTACCCTTCCTGATCCTCCCTTGCCAATCTGTCCAAGAGAGAATCCCAAGTCCTCTTGATAAGCATCCTCTTCAATCTCTGCAAAGTTCATCCTATTCGCTTGTTTCCTCATCTCTGTCATACCAAGCTTGTCTTTCATCTTCCTCAATCTGCATTAGTAAGTATAAATGGTCTTCATATAATGCTTTGTGAAAGATGAAGAATATATTAATATCACTATCATATTTCTTTTTATCATCATAGTATTATCTATAACATGTGTTTGCATCAATTCAAAAATGGAAACACATATTCCTACCATACCATATCATATTCACAGCATTTGTTATACGTTAGAATTAGCAAAATTGTATAGATTAATTGTATACCTTTATTAAAATCAGAGATAGTTGTGCTACCATACCATACATTTATGGGTGTGTTTATACATGTATATTACTTTATGTGAAGATAAAGTCAGAATTATAAAATAACAATGAAGATCATTGATTAGATACAGAAGTTTGTCATCGCAGTTGTCATCATTAGATTTCTGAAACTCTGATGTGGGCGAAACCATGATTCAAAACGCTTTGTGTGTTCTAAACCAGCAGTTTCTAATATTACTTAGTGGCTTGATTTAAACCTCTTAAAGGGATCGTTTAACAATGTTAAATCTCAGATGCACGGCCCTACGCGTTATCAGTGTCTGTGATATGGTGTTATATTGAAGCCCTAGAAAAAATTGCGGTTCAAAATGATCCAGAAGTGCCTCAAAAAGCTTTCAGTGACCGGTGTTACCATACTCGTTTTCCACAATAGACTGTAGTGTTATGAAAAACGTTTGGCAAACGCAAAATTTGATTTCGATTTTCAATCATAAATATCCTGATAATCAGACAGGCGATCGGCCTGTAAAAATCATGGAGTTCCTGACTGACCGAAATTTTTATAATTATCATTGCAGCATGAGCTAAATCAAGGATTTTTTTAAGGATTTAAAGGTAAAGCCCAGTATTGGTAACGCCCCAATTTCAAAAAATGAAATGGAAGCTCTCATTACCAATCATGTGAAAGAATATGTTTTGACTAATACATGATGATAAAAAATTTGCCGGGAAACCGCCTACTAATTCATATATTTGGTAAATTTATCTCTCTCATGGTCGTGTGAGAGAGATAGGGTAGTCCCATATACATCTTTCTGTGTATAGTGCTTGTAACTTTACGAAGAATGGGCCAAATTTCTTATCATTTTGATGATTCCAGAACCTTGCAGATGCTAGATGCTAGATGATCAACCTTTTCTGATCGATTCCACAACGTTTCTTTCACAATGCAATCGCATGACCATTACTGGTCTTTACCTTTAAGACAAAGTTACCGGATCCCTTTAATACATACCTTCTTCCTCCTCGTTTTTTCCTGGGTTGATCAAGAGGTAGAGGTAGTGCCTTGCTTTGTTTTGGTGGTGGAGGTTCCTGCATCTTGGCAAGTTTTCTTTCAATCTCAGCTCTGAGATTCAATCCCATAGTACCTATAGGGCTCTCATGGAAACTATCGATCCTAGAAGCTAGAGTACACTTGGCTGATACCAGACGAGCAGCTTGTCTTCTCATTTCCTACGCATATCAATCAGAAATCATTATCAGTTAGCATTCTTCAATGTAGCAACACATAATACCTCTACACATATTATATGATATAAAGATTTTAAAAATGCAATTTTACTAAACTAGGACAGCTGTATCTGAAGAAAGAACAACAACAGAATACAAGATATAGGTCTTTAAAAAAGTACCTTTCTTGACCCTTTCTTGATTTGGTGATTTGTGGCAGGATTCTATGCGCACATGATGACACATCACTTTATGGACAGTTAAATCATGTTTTGTAGTAAACATGATCATGTCATCCTTAAAATGATAGATCTAAAGAGGGATATCAACATAACAAAAATGACAATTGTTTTGTTACTGAATCCATCTTGTCTGATATGTATTATCATGTCTCATCATTTGAAAATGAAAAGGTCTATAACATGGTCTGATTTTTTAGTGACAGAAAAAAACTAGATGGAATTCGACTGCGCGCAGTCGAAAATGATGCCTCCGTTAAAGAGCAATTTTACAAACCAAAACAGAAAAAAAAAATTGAATTCACGTTCAATGGTAATCCATTGACAGGTTCTCAGAATATTGTGATTACAAGCAATTTCTCATATACATATATGACCCTTTGATCTTTGACCTCATGACCATAAAATCTACTCAGTTCATTGGCTCTGCAAGATGTTCTGAGTTAAATAGTAATCCATCTGTCAGTTCTAATGAGAATGCGTTCACAAGCTATTTTTGCATACATAATGGGCCCATGACCTTTGACCTTTGACCTTATGAACCAAGAATCTACTCAGTTCATTGGCTCTGCAAGTAACAAACATGACCTAATTTTGGCATGAATCCATCAATCGGTTCTTGAGATAACGCGATCACAAGCTGTTTTTGCATTCATAATGTGCGCTGTGGCCTTTGACCTTTGACCTACGTGCTCCAAAATCTAATCAGATCGTCTTCCTATGGTGATACACACTATCACTAAGTTTGAAGTTTAAATCTCCAGTGGTTCTTGAGATATCATGATAACAATCTCAATGTATGGAATTTCATAAGTTGACCTCTGTGACCCTTGACCTTTGACATACGTGCTCCAAAATCTAATCAGATTGTTTTCCTATAGTGATACACACTATCACTAAGTTTGAAGTTTAAATCTCCAGTGGTTCTTGAGATATCATGATAACAATCTCAATGTATGGAATTTCATAAGTTGACCTCTGTGACCCTTGACCTTTGACAAACATGCTCCAAAATCTAATCAGATCGTCTTCCTATGGTGATACATACTATCCTTAAGTTTGAAGTTTAAATCTCAAATGGTTCTTGAGATATCGCGCTAACAAACTCAATACAAGGAATTTCATAAGTTGACCTCTGTGACCTGTGACCTTTGACCTACGTACTCCAAAATCTAATCAGATCGTCTTCCTATGGTGATAAATACTATTCCCGAGTCTTAAGTTTAAATCTTAAATGGTTCTTGAGATATTGTGATAACGGTTTAAACGGGACGGACGGACGGACGTACGGACGTACGGACGGACGTACGGACGGACAACCCGAAAACATGATGCCTCCGGCACCACCTTCGGTGGCGGAGGCATAAAAATCATCGCTAACAGGTATTTCAATATCATGAATTCTGTACAACAGGACCTCTCAGTCTTCAGTGAAAACTTTTAAGAGCAGTGAAACTAACCTGTGGTGTTGCTTGAACAATGTCACTGTAATAGATGTAGCCAGTATGTGGTAAAACAGCAGAACTAGAGAATCCAGAGAGCATCTTGCGTTGAGAGCCTAGGACTAACACATTACATGAAGGCATCTTGGACAGATTGGTAAGGCCACCAGCAACACCTGATCACAGAAGAGAGATAGAACACTTCTCTTCTTCAGATAAACATATAAATGATTGATTCCTCCCAACACTGCCTGCCTGAGTAACCCGTTTCTAAACTACCTACATGTACTCGACAGCTAACCTTAGCTAGTAATTTGCTTCTTAATCAGGGGCGATAGTGAGCGCCAAAAAAAGAAGGCTTTAGTGATTTTGAACAAAAAATCTGAGCTCTTGCGCAATGCATTCAAGCAAGTCATGAAAAAACAGCACCTCACCAGCATCTCTGTATTTGATTTATTCAAATTTTGAATTTTGATGTGCTTTTGTAATATCTTTGAATATTTTCCTATACATAAATCATATGCAATTCGGCATTATAGCAGCGAATCTTGATTCATATAAATCATCAATCAGCCATCAATTCAATGTTTTAATTAAAGAATCAATCCAACATCAATTAACTTACCCATTAGTTTAGCAGCAGTTGAGGCACCAACAATAATAGAAAGATTGGGAGCAATAAATGACATCCTCGATTCCACATAGGTGAAGATGTCTGTCTTTGCTTGCTTCAAGTCAAAGGCCTGTAACAAAATCAAATATGTAGCAAAATATAAATGTCCATTAGACTGTTATGACAAAGAACACATGAAAAAGGGATAACAAAGTGACATGATGAAAGTGACAAATAGCCATGTTCACAGACGGTAATATCTATACCAACTACAGTGTATACCAAGTATGATTCACCAGCTGAAAACCAGAGATTCACAAGAATGACCAAGTACATGTATATTGTTATTGATTAAGACACATCCTCATCCAATTCAATCCACAGGGTATTTAGTCATTAGTAATTGAGTATAGTGCATTTTTTCTTGCATTTACAAAGCCCTTCACAACTTACTCCACAATGTATGAATTACATTTAAGGGGGTGGGGGTGGGGCAAGTTTTGGTAAAAAGTTGAAGGAATGATATATTTTCATTGGTGCCACACATGATCTAGTATTTGTCATTGAATGAGATTAATTTGAAAAGGCCACTTCTTCTGATTGCTAAGTTTCCTAAAGTTTTTATTTGGTCTAGTTATCATTGGCAAGATGTTCAATTTACAACTGAACAGCAGGCCTTCAGGTTACAACACCAGGAGGGAGTTTGAAGCAAACTTGTTAAGGCTTTCAGGGAATGTTTCTCAGAAATAAAGCCTATAAACAGATATGTATGATCTAAAAAAAAACACCCTTTCCTGAAGTAAATCAAGAGTGGTAGACTTATAAATTATAATAATATGGTTATTTATTTATAGCGCTGGTGTCCGTCAGGCTCTGACGCTCATGGTGCTTTACACATATTACCCTGGTCATAGCCGAGCTGCCAAAGTAACTAGTGCTCAAGCATATAAGGTACCCATTTACATCTGGGTGGAGAGTGGCAAATGTAGATTAACGTCTTGACAAAGGACATTAGTGCCGCGGCAGGACTTGAACCCCGTACCTTGTTATTTGCAGTTGGGTGACTTATCCACTATAACAACATCAGGTAATAAAATATACTACTGTTACTCTAAGCCAAATTTGAATAATATCAATCAAACAACTCTAACACCACTTTATTTCAGCTTGAATGTAAATAAAAAAGGATGACACAAGGAGAACACAGTAGTAAATACAAAAACCCTCAAATAAATAAATATTGCATGCATATTATCATAACAAACATTCACCTCCAAAGCAGTATGTTCTATTTATAAGTTGAGTCTAGGCCTGTCTTCATAACATAGATCATTTATTTAACTCACCATATCACCTGCCTCAAAGACTGTTGCTAATTCTTGTTGAGTGAGTGGTGTGCCTTGTGTAGTAGAAGCTGAAACACTGACAATCATGATGACCGCATTGGTCAATATCTCCTGCAGCTTCTCATTATTCTTCGCTCTCTCCAAATCATTTCCAAGTTCCTGGTTGATTCAATCACACATTAACATATGTCAACAATTACAGTAAGTGATACAAAATCACACTTTACCCCTACCCCACCTCCTCAATGTAAATGATCATGTTATCCTTTAAATGACAGATCTAAAGAGGGATATCAAAATAACAAACATGAACATTGTTTTGTTACTGAATCCATCTTGTCTGATACGTATTATCATGTCTCATTATTTGAAAATGAAAAAGTCTATAACATGGTCTGATTTATAAGTGACAGCAAAGAAAACGCTTTCTAATTCTGATAGCTCACATGCGCCCCTAAAAGCAACTGAGGGCAGCTTCCTAAAACATTCCCAAAGCTTGCTCAGTATACCCTCTCACATTTAAAGCTAAGATGTAATGATGATGCCAAGCAGATCACACCAAGTACATTATAATTGGTGCATTTCACCTTTGTTAAAGTCTTATTTATTCTTTTATCATGAGATTAAAAACAACTTTTCAAACCCCTTCAGGTTTAATTATTCTGTGCCAGAAAAAAAGATATTCCGATTCGCGATGAACCCCACACAACAAACATATCAATGCACTAGCCTAACTAACATTATTATGTATACCAAGATAATGGTCTAAGTACTCACCTTGACTGTGCTAAGATATTCAAAAGAATTAGGAACAAGAGAGTCCAACTCTGGAAAGCGCTTCTGATAATGGTCTCTGACAAATTTATGAATAATATCTGCACAAAAAAGAACAAAAACAAGAAGTAATACATTTACTTCACATATAAAACCCCATAAAGAAACATGCTTTAAAAAATTAATTCAACAAAGAGATGGTGTACATAAATTAATATTCATGATAATTAATAAATAACTCGTTTTAACTTAATTAAATTTGGAGTGGACTTTAAAAGATTATTATTATTATTATTATTATTATTTATTACTCTTTGTCATGTAAGCCACACCATATTACATAACTGGAAGAAAATAAAACCTTCCCAATGTCCATATCTGACACCTCTGAATTACTTTGAAAAAGAAAAAAACCTAGAATTTTTTAACCCACTCTTTTTTTATAGATTTCATCTCGTTGATGATAACATCAATGGAACTTACATACAGTGAAACCTGTTTATTAAGACCACCTAAAAGAGACAAGAAAGGTGGTGTTTCTATACAGGTGGTTACTAAAACAGGTTTGACAGTATACTATTACATTACCACTATGTAATTGTACCTATATTAATATAGCTCCTACATAATATTTAATGGAAAAGGCCTTACAAATGTTGAGTTTCTAATCAAGTAGACCAGGCAATTAAAAAAAAAAAAGAGCAGGTACATGAAGCATCAGAAGCTTCACAAATGAAACTTTCCTTTCAATCACAGCCTTCATGAAAAACATTCATGTGGCATTTCAACTGCATCAAACTGAATTGGAATAAAATTAAATAATTTATTCTTGACATACACGTTACAAAATTAGAAAAGTTTTTGTAGAGTGATCCAAAGTGCTCATTCAGTGTTTAGTGCATGAATGTTGTATATGCTCTTTGAAGAGTAGGGCACTTTGTACAATGATACAATATAAAAGGAATAGGATACAGGTATACTCACTGATCTCATTCTCAATCTCCACTGATAAGTTGTTAGCCTGTACAATCAACTGATACTCTGGATTGGCCTCTACTGGTCCCATCACTGTAATTGAATGAATGCATGAATATGAAATGTATCACTACATACATTGCAGTCTATTTGGGTAAAATAGGAATCCTCTTTTTATATTGTAAATTTGAAAGAAAAGCTGAAGAAATAAATTTTGCCTTCAGTATTTCTAAAATTTGCAATTTCATAATAGGGCGATTCTATGGAATGTCTAGGCCTGTAACCGATCATCGGATCGGGGGCTGATCTTGAGCCGCTCAGGGGTGATCGGATAATATTTTCTGATCGGAATGCATGCCTACATTATAATCCAAGATGGCGGCCTGCATGTTTTGCCTCTTCTCTTAGACCAATATTATTAATTTCAAGGTCATGAAAAGGCACTAAGTATCAACAAACATGGTCTAACAACAACTCCAAATGACAAAATAATCCCAGCCATGAAATTTTTTTGAGCATTTGATAGCCAAAAACTTGAAAATTTTCGTCATTAAAAAAAAAAAAAAAAAAAAAAAAAAAAAAAATTGCTGACTTTTTTTGCTGATTATTTTTGCCGATACCGACCACAGGTGCGAGGGTGTCGCTCCGATCTTCCGATCCAATCAAAGCCCCAACTTACAGGGTTAAATGTGTCCCATATGACACATGTCCTTTTACCATCATCCTGAGACATCTTTGTTTGATTTTATGGACAGAAGAATTTAAATTCAAATTCTCTTAATTAATTGATTAGGATTTGGGGCGCCATATGTCCCAGGCCCCTTTCAGTATCGAGCCCGGTATTAATTTAAGAATGTCTCAACTGGAAAGCAAATTTTGTATGATAATACATTTTGAGAGAAATTGTTGGAAACACATAACTTACCTTCTCCTTTTCTTGGATTGTCCTGGTAAAATTTAATCTGTGTCAAAACACTCTGCAACTGTAAATAAGAAAACAATGGATTCTTAAGCAAAGGAAATATCTAAAAACATTTAGTAAATAACATTTTCTAAAAGTATGAGATGATCAACAAAATAAGTACTCTGTAAAGCTCAAACAAAGCATGGTAAAGATGAATGTATATATCCTCTGTTTGCAGCAAGTAAGAAAGTTGTTTTTTACCTTCTGGCTATCACGAAGCTTGGCTATGCTCTTGATAGAAGATTCTCTTGTATCTATCTCCATGGTAACATCCTGGATGACATCATCCTCATCTTTCTCATTCTCAGCATCATCAATGAAACCTTCTTCTGCTATCTCCTCCAAATCAGCGAGTAGTTCATCAGCCAAAGACATCCTGACAACCTAAAACAACTGAAAAAATAAGATTAAAAACATGACCCTCTAGATAAAAGACTGCAAACTGCAAGTAGATCTAGCTAACATTGGTATTCCACATATTAACAAACATATTCAATGGCCACTTAATATTACATATTAGCAGTATTGACAATTCATTATTTCCAAAGGATTTCTCCCCAGTCAAGACTACAAAATGTACAAGCTCAGAGTCAGAAGCGAGTATTTAGTATGCTAAGGTGCATGCTGGTATTTCCCCAACTTTGCAGACTCCCTGCGCGCACGCCGTTTTACAGTATTATTCGCTATTATTAAAGTAAGTATAAACAATTGATAATGCAAAAAACAGTTTTTTGTGTGTACACCACCTGTATTAATTATGATTTGTTCAAGTCAGAACAAACATTGCAAACTCTCATGAGAGCTCACGACTCACATAGAACTTTGCGCATTGAGCGCTGTACAATGAGTTTACAAACTCCCAGTGGCCGATCCGCTCGATCTCGAGTGGCTTCAAATTTAAGTGAGCCGAGACAGGGCCAGCGCCAAGACCCTACCTAACTTTAGCGCAACTCAAGTTTAATCACGTAATACTACATAACACACTGACATGTCGTGCTTCACACATTACTGACGCACACACGGCATTGCACACAAAAAATAGAACAATCAACAAACATTTCAGAATAAATTTCCAGTTTGTAGGTCTACCTTAAATATGACGAAAATGACATTAGTTTACTCATAATCATAAGAGTAATTTATAATAAACCTAGATCTATGTTTCTTTTTCTGCTATGCAGAAACAAGCGCCCATGAATTACACCAAAGGCCGTCACGGGTCCAAAATATGGGCACACTTCTGAACTAGCTCCTGATCCTGCCGAGCGGCTAGCGGGGAGCTTGAGTTTGCTACCGGAATGGAAGCGGCGCGGCGCGGCGTTCGGGCTTCGGCCCGAAACTCTCGCTGGAAATGGAGCCTCTCTAGCCTCTGGCTCTCTAACTTCTAAGCCTTACTGAGTTACTCTGGCTTAGTTTGGCCCTTATTCGAAACATTAAAAAATTGACAAAATATTATCATTCTTATGGTCAACAATATCCAACATATACCAATCTTTCAATAATAATAATAAGAATTTTGAGAAATTACCTGAAATTGAGTGCGTGAGAAACGTCGTACACTCAACGTACCGAGTTTGAATGAATCTAGCAACCTAAATATTAGACGAAAGACCAAACTTGAAGGATGCTCAATTAAAAATAAGTATCAAATAACACCAAATAAAACCAAATAACATCAAAAATATATCAAATGAAAGACCTTTAAAAAAAAGATCAAAAGTAATTTCAAACCGTTTTTGAGAATAATTTTTGTAGTATTAAATGACAACAAAAAATATAATGTGGAACGAGCTTGATATACTGAAACGAAGGCTCTATCGGAGATGAAGGTAGCCCATCAGCCCATCTTATAAGCATATCAATTTACCATCGATTGTGTGGTATTTACACGTACCCCTACTCCCTTGACAAGTTCCCATTTTCGTATGCAATAAGTGTCCGCTCTCCATTAGTGCCTTTTTAATCTCTAGTAAGTTCTCCTTTTCAGGTACGAGAAGCGCCCTTTTCACTTTTGATAAGCGCCCCCGGCCCCCTTCACCTTTGATAATTGCCCTATTCAAATTTGAGAGGTTCCCCTTTTGCTTTGACAATTTCCCCTTTTCCTATGTAAAAAGTGCCCCTTCCCAATTTAATAACTACCCTTTTAACCCTTCACATGTGTCCCCTATCCTTTTTAATAAGTGCCTCTTTTCCTTGTGATAAGTGCCCCCATTTAAAAAGAGCCCTTTTCCCTTCTCATATAAGGCCCGCCCCATGTCATTTATGAAAGTAGTTCCTTTTCATTCTCATAAGTGCATGCCCCTTTTCATCTTGGGTAAATGACCCTATTCAATTCTGAGAGATACCCGTTTTACTTTGACAAGTGCCCATTTCCCACCTGATCAGTGCTATTTTCATCTCTTATAAATGCCCCTTTTATTTTGACACGTCCCCCTTTTCCTTCCTAATAATTGCCCATTTTCCTTCTAACATGTGCCTCTTTTTCTTTTTATTAAGAGCTGCTTCCCCATTTTCATAAAAGCCCCCTTTCACCTCCGATACATGCCCCTATTAAAATCTGCTCGGTGCCCCTTTTCTTTCAACGAATGCACATTTACCTTTATCATTAGTGTCCCTTTTTCATTCTCATTATAGTGCCTCTTTTCATGAATGGTCAGTACCCCTTTTCATATGCGATAAGTGCCCTTTTTTACCTCTGATAATTACCCTTTTAACAATGATATGTGCCCCTTTTTCCTTTCTAATAAGGAACCTATCCCTTTTCACTTCTAATAGATGCCCCTATCATAATCTGATGGGTGCCTCTTTTCAGTCGTCAAATGCCCATTTCCCATTCTCATAAAATCCCTTTTCATCCCTGGTGCATGCCTCTTTTTTCAGTAAGAAGTGCCCCATTTTCACCTCTGATAATTAGCTTTTGTACTTTGACACGTGATCCTTTTCTTTTTCAATAAGTGTCTTAACCCTTTTGATTAGTGTCCCATTTTACTCTCATCATTAAACGTGCCCCTAATTTCAAGCGACTAAGAGCAATTTTCCCCCAAAGCTCGCTCGCCACGCTTGCTCGTAGTTATCGATGTTATAATTATGTAACTTAACAGTAATGTCTTTTCAGTCTTCCGTTTATGAGAATGTGCTTATAACCCCATTAGGATTGGGGTTTTCCTCTTTATAAGGTGTAATTTTTCACACTGCGACCTCACAAATCTCTTCTTTTTTTTTAAATTCTCGCTCGCAAATGAATTTTCAGACCATCCCACCCAACTGCAAAGTATGATGCTTAAGCAATATCTTTATGTTGTTTAAAGAGAAACAAATATTGAAATCAACTTGATAATGTTTAAAAAACTGTATATTTTCGCCTTGAGATCTCCCTTTGAAGGTGCCCCCCCCCCCCCCACTTTGGAAGTCGCTCCGCCGCCTTGGGCTACAGCCCTCGAGACCGACATCCAAATAATAAAAAAGTGACCCTGCGGGTTATAGTGAGGGCGGGGCGGGCCTTATTATACTTACTAGACCGACATCCCACGAGGCGGGGGGCCTTTATTCTGCCCAAAAACAATTGGTTGGCTGAACCAGCCAATTTAAAGAGACGTAGGACCTACGCGTTTTTTTTTTTTTGTTTTTGTTTTGGAGTGTTTGGTTTTTTTTTTTGGGGGGGGGGGGGGGGAGGGGGCGGCGGGTAGACGGTGGATGTTTCTATTCCGACACACACGTACATACACCTCCACACATCCTAAGTTATTTCCTCACGTACCCACCTAAACACAAATGACAATCATTTCCGGACGGGATAGTCCTAATCTTCAGTCCCAGGAGTTATAATTGATATGTATCTGGGCCATATGACTGCCATGCTAAAATTTACCATTCACGTAATTTTCACAAATAACGTGCCTGATAATCATGCAGTTACTATTAAAACAAACAGAGGGTGATGGTAAGTGGGTGTGTTAACCGCACATTTTTGCTTCTATATATAATTATAGGCCTACATTTTGAGAAAGCAATACAATTTTCACCATAAATTTAATAAATTTTGCTTATTATAACGTATATAGGCCTAACCATTTAGCGCAAATTAATATCTTAATATGCACCCTCCAAATTATACCCGCTGTATTAGCCTTTGAATAAACTATGATTATTCCCAAATACAGACTCTCATCTACCAAGAACTTAGTCATAATGCAGTGCTGCTTTGAACATTGACACCCCACTTTCCCTCATCAGAGAAAAAACATGTCTTGCCACTTTCAAAATCACTTAAATTCAAGTTCAAGTTCAAGTTTTATTTACACATCTGATTAAAAAAAAGGTACAATATATGCATATATACATTAACAAACGTTAAAATGAAACATCTTCAATTTAAATCATAATGTGGTGGGAAAAAACAAAGGCTAATGGCCTATCAGGGTTATTCCCAAAGATAATAAAATTTACATAAAAAGTTTCTTAAATTCATTAAAAACGAGATAAAAATACAGAGATTAGAATAACACAAAGCATCAATAAACAAAACTAAACCGGACAAATCCATTACAAAGAGACAAGAAACAGAAAAGGCATTTATGTAAAAAAATAATATTAATTATACATATTCATTTACAAAATATTTCTTCAGTTTTCTTTTAAAAATTGATACAGTTTGGCAAATTTAAATGACACTTATTTCTATTGATGTACCTATTTTATGAATTTAATTTGAAGAAAAATATGAAAATACATTAATTTAATGTATTTTCATATTTTTCTTCAAATTCTGTGACTAAGCGTCATGTGATACTTTTTGTATATAAGCGCCCCTAAATAGTTAGTATTATTATTATCATTGCTATTACTACTATACCATTAACGTTATTATAATGATGATTATATTAATAGTTATAACAATAATGATACGGTATTATCATTAGGTTTGTAATTGTTGTTATTATAAGCCCATTATTACAGGAAATTTAAAATTAATAATTATTTGACACCTAATTGCATCACAACAAAAATAAAATATTCAATCTTCCAATATGTAAATATGAACTGATTGAATTTAACAATTTTGGTATAATAATGTATTAATGTAAAAATACTGAGTCAATAATTACGGTCTAAGTATCTTTCAGGGATCACATTATGGTTGATACCAGGGGTAACTATATTTCGGGACAAGCTCCCTATATAGCCAGATTAAAAGTGTCTATTCCAACATTCTGGTACCCCCCCCCCCCCCCCCCCCCCCCCACCCTTACTCAAAGGTTTCGGGCCAAAGGTCACAAATTGGCATTCCATCACAGGCGGCAAGTATACTTTCAAATCACACTCGCAGACTTGCCTAAATCATGTAGAATTATGTTCTGTTGACAGTGTTTTGCTTGTTTCTACTAAATTTTCTTCCAAATTTAATATGTTGTATTGCTGAGAATTTGCGCTAAAGGACATTAGACTTCAATTCACAGTCAAAATTACAAGTTCCTGGTCGCAAGTTCCTATATGAGCACAATGACGGATGCACTGGGCTATATCCTGGGCTGACTTAACGGTTCAGTGGACCGCAGTCAAATTTTAGTGCTAATCCCCCTTTATAACGTAATGAACCCAAATGCGGGCATAACGATATTGACGTTTATACGGTATACAGTGCACGACAAATTTATTAGTTATTCCAAACTCTAAACACTAAAGACAATAAATCAGCAATTCAAGGATTAAAACGTTATTAATGAATAGATACATCCGAGGGCTTTGTAGGGGGGGGGGGGGTGTTTCAAACACCCCCTTGGCAAACAGGGGGTACTTTAGAATTTTAAAGACACCCTTTATCTGTGTTTTTTTTCTATGACCCCCCCCCCTGGCCCCCTTTGGCCCCCGATTAATATTTTCTCACGAATGGGGGGGGGGGGGGGTGCTCCTTAGCTCTGTTTTGCTATATACACGTTTTGTAAATTGATTTATATGATATTTATGTTTACAGAATATTGATTTGTAACATTGCTTTCAATTGATTTATATGTTTATAAATAGAATATTGATCAATGAAGTTTGATTAATACAATAGAAGTAATTTAGGTCAGCGGTACGTTTTCAACTGGTCCCGCGCTGTGAGAGAATTAAATTATATTAAGATTACTTTATGAAATATCGTCAGCTTCATGACAAAGTATCAGAAATTGCAAGATGACAAAATGCATTATAGCCGGCCTCTTTTGACAAGGAAATAACATTTTAATGATAACAAAGTCTCACTTTCCTGAGTGCAAGAGAGCACATCGACCAATGAGAACAGAGTATTACCAGGGGCGGATCTAGGGGGGGGGGGGTCGGCGGTTTAAACCTCCCCCCCCCCCATTGGGCGGCCAAGTGGATAAAAAAAGGGGGGGGGGGGGAGAAGAAAAAAAAAGGGAAAAAAGTAAAACAGTAAAACGGCGCGATTTTTGGAAATTCCTGCATGGATCTACCACTGGGTCAACCCCCCCCCCCCCCCCTTGGCAAAAAGCTAGATCCGCCCCTGATTACTTTACAATTTAGAACGGAAATCATAACTTTTTTTTTGTTTACCTGTAAGAGGAGGTGGCGAAACTCAGTCTCCAATCCCTTTTAACAAGGATAGCATCTTCTATGGGAGCCCTACCCCCCCCCCCCCCGGCCCTTATTTCGGGCATCGATCATACAGACCGGGTTCGAACACTGCATATCTTTTATGTATGTGAGCGCTTGCGTAGCGACCGTGTGGGGGAAAATATTGGATTATTGAAACTTTGAGAACAATGCTTATCCATTCTTGTACATGCAAATAATTATCTAGAAATCTTACCCATGTATAGAATCTATTTAACATTTTGCTTTACTAATATAGAGGCCGAATAAATGACATTTCACTCCAAAAATAACTCACTTTAAATAGAATCTTGAAGAAAAAAAAAAAAAAAAACAATCACAAAAGTTTGAGCAAAACCAAATAATTTATAAAACTTATGAATTTTTAAAGACATAAAAATGCTTTGAAAATCACAAGACAAATTGGCAACTCACTCATAAGTCTGTGACGCCATTGCCTCACTATTCACTTCTGAGTAATTGTTTTCTTTTATAAATTGTCCATTCTCCCCCTAAAAATCTATTTCCTCACACCAGAATCAAAGTTATATTGAAAGTAATATGTTTTTGTGTGAATGCACTAATATAGTGATTTTTTCCAGTCATATCATGAAAGATTTGAAATTTGTAAACTATTTATATAAAAATCAATGAGTTATGAATAGCCTATACAATATTCAAAAAATAGTATCAGTTCTTCAAAGATTTTGAAAAGTATCATGCACGCAATATGATACAAATAAAATTGGGCAAAGGCATTAGGAAATCAAGTTTGGGGGGATAAAAAGGAAAATCAATGGGATAAAAATATATGAGGCAATGACGTCACTAACTGAAAACCAAATTGGCAGTTGGATTGTTTTTCTATAAGTTCCATAGTTTTTCATACTATATTAAACAAAAATCATAACCTCCTCAATACTTATCCGATTTTTGTAAATTTATTTTGCTCTGTTTCACATCTATTAAAAGCAAATAATTTTTGGAGTGGACTTAGCCTTTAAAGGTACTATGTCCTATTTGCAGGCCAAAAAAATGAAGAGGTTAAATTCCAATGGCATTTGAAAGATAATACTAATTTAGAACTTCCCTAAAAAAGAGGTGCTTGAAAAAAGTGGGAAAATAACGACTATAGTAGTTGTCAAATTGACTAGAGAGCTATAGAGCCAGTAAGTAAATAGTCTGATTTTAAGACCATTGTACCGAATAGTCGTACGTTTTATGCTGCGCAAATATTTAATCAGTTTAATTTTGGCCAGTACAAGAAGTGGGTTATTGATGTAGACAAAATGCTCATTGTACCCTTTACAGCTCATTTTATGTATGTTATTACCAAAGAAGAAAAAAAAGCCAATCAGTCACTCAATAGTGTCTGACAGTGAAGTCTAGCAAGTAAACGTGTTTCCTTGCATAATTTGAATATTAGGACACTGCTAATGTTTAAATTTTACAGATAGGACATTTATATACATGACATATTCATAATTCCTGCAAAGTTTTACAGAATTTGATGTTGGCTGCAAAAGGGACATAGTATCTTTAATAGAGAGAATCAGAATGTCATTGAATAATAATTATGATTCGTTTAAATCATGTTAATGTTTTATTCTTTCTCCGCAGACAATGACCATACACTTTCAAATTAATAAGCCTATGTAAGATATGCAAAACTGGATTTTGATGTTTATATAATAAACGATCTATTTGGCTATCTATGATCATTTACTTTGTTTTTCCTTTTACGTTTTTAGTTTGGGGAATCCCCGATTGCAAAATGCACTTAATAAATGTTATGGCATATTATTGACCTAAATACTATAGTAATAAAAATAAGTTATGCAGCTGTGCCTGGTGATGCTAGGATTGCTGAGAAAGAGAAGGAAAAGATTGAAAGGTATCAAGACCTATACGGAGAGAATTGGGAAGTCTGTGGAATATCAAGACATGAGAGGCCCCTGTGGTGGTTGGTGCATGCATTAGGCATGATCACAAGCAATCTTCGGAACTGAGTTCGGAAGATCATCTGAAGTAGCTTGGGGTATCCATAACTCCTCCAGAAAGTTTGATCCGGGAGTTTTATCTGCTTGGTACCGCAATTAAGACTCTTATGAAAAGCACTTGAGGAGGCTAAGCTTGCCCTCAGTATATGCCAATGAGATTTAAAAAAAAAAACACAGCATAGATCGAGCTGATATATTGATGAAATAATAATAACATCAATACTATAATAATAAACTGTCTGATAATATTCTATTTTTTAAGTTTCAAGTTTCCAATTTATACAGTTCAATATCTTCTAATTCAAGGTTCAAGAACTCACCAATAATATCAAAACATTTATGAGAACAGGATATATATATAACATGTTTTAAATAACATAAAATACTCATGATAAAAACAAAAGATGAGAAAATATAGAATAAAATAATGATGCATGGGAAGATAGATTTACATATTCCATGTGATGATATAAAGTGGCAATGTGCACAAATCGAGTTAATCAATTCTTTACCCCTTGCTTTTAGTATTAACTTAATTAACTTATGGATGGGTTTTCATAAATATCACTTTTTAGTCAAAAACTCAATTGTTGCGACTAGTGGCTTGTTGCTTGCGCAAAAAAAGTATTTCCGGGTCAAAAATCTATATTTAGAACGTAACTGCGCTCGCTATATATTAGACACGATCACTTCCGCATATTGAGAGATTCACCGTAGCGTTGTATCGCACTAGCACTGTACTAATGCAGCATTGGAGTTACGTGTAAAAGCTAACACACCCTGTCCGTTTGCGAGGGAAAAGAGAGTCACTGAAGAAGCAACATACATCGAATGTCATAGTTTTCGAAGCTAATTTCCAAGAAAACGAGAGCTTCAACATGCAGGCTATTAAATGTGTCGTCGTCGGGGACGGGTAAGAAACCTGAAATCTGTAATTCTAATCTTAGTCGTAGATCGTACACTCATTCATGAGTATGGATAGTGAGTGGACCATTGGCTTGTCGTGTATGAAATGCATTGTGAACGTGTGTGTGTGGGGTCGTGACATGTCCGTCCTGAACAAATATATTAAAAAGGTAGACCTCTAGCTCTTCTCACGTTCATGACGTTTCCCATTATAAGGTTTCACACAAAATTATGCATCGAATACTAGAAAGTAGCTTCAACCAGGTAACCATGATCATGGCACCATGAAAATTTGTCCAACATTATGATTTGTCTTTTTTCTTGATTGATTAGTGACAAATAATCAGGCCTAGAAATCTGCAATGAATGTATTTGTTTTAGAAATTGTAATGTACATGTAAGTCAAGACTTAATTACGAATGGTAATTAAACCCAGGGGGTCACTCCCAACATGACCTGCTCTGCACCCGCATCCAGAAAAAAGCGTTGAAAGGGTGTCTTATTCAGCTATACGGCGCGCGGCGTCGTCAACATTTTCCTTGAAAAGGGGTGTTTTTCTAGCACTGAACGCAGACAAATATAAAAAAGGTACTTTTTCAGATTCACAGGTTCAACGTTGTCAACGTTTTCCTTAAAAGGTGGTGTTTTTCATTTTTCAAGCACTGATCGCACTAGACCTAATTTTCCGTCTCTTTCGTTCGTTAGCCTCTTATTGGGGTAGGGTCGGCTCTCTCTTTAGAGACGGAAACCGTCTATACACATTCCCTTGATAACGCCACGGCCATTTCAGGTCGTAGCGTTTTGCCCCCAAAATCCCCCAAAATGTCATTTTACCTCGTGCATATCCACATGTAAATTAGGCCTAGGCTATAATAAATCAGTTCCACTTACCAACTTGACTGAAATAATCAGTTTAATAGTCCCTTTTTAGGAATTTATGGGTCAAAATCGAAATCCATGTTGAAAAAGATTTTCAAAATGGATTTCGATTTTGACCCATAATTTCCTAAAAAGGGACTATTAAACTGATTATTTCAGTCAAGTTGGTAAGTGGAACTGATTTATTATAGCCTAGGCCTAATTTACATGTGGATATGCACGAGGTAAAATGACATTTTGGGGGATTTTGGGGGCAAAACGCTACGACCTGAAATGGCCGTGGCGTTATCAAGGGAATGTGTATAGACGGTTTCCGTCTCTAAAGAGAGAGCCGGCCGACCCTACCCCAATAAGAGGCTAACGAACGAAAGAGACGGAAAATTCGGTCTATGATCGCACAAGAACCAAAAACAGTATCTTTTCAGGTTAACGGGTGTCGACGTTTTCTTAAAAAAGGGTCATTTCAGAAAAGGTGCGATACGCTATTAGGGTCCATTTCAGAGGTTGATGGACACGGGTGGATAGCATTTGTATATGAGAGTGACCCCCCAGGGTAATTAAGCAACTGTGCGAGGAAGTTACTTCAACTTCAAGCATGACAACAACATGAACAAACTTCAAATTACTGTTTGAAGTAAGACTAAGAGTTCAGAACGACAGAGAAATCCATCTGGTTAGAGGATTTTTTAAATGTCTTTTGAAATTCAGACCTCTTGCTAGTCTTTGCTCTGCTCCAACGCAGAATGGAAACGTCTCATACTCCAAGCTACCTGTGCTGGACATGGGAATCTTTGAGTACCTTAATAACAATTGGCCTGAAAGGATGCACCCCTGCACCCTTTTAATATACTAGAAGAATGTATAACATACATTCTTAAATATTATGTATAGGTTTTAAATTTGCATTGTACATGAACTGCATTCACAACACCAGACCTGCCTAATATATGTAGTATGTGATACACTAGACGGTGGACTGTACTTTTCTTGGAAGAAAAAGAAGAAGTAGGTCTTAATATACTACAAGACAATAGGACGTACATGTAGCTGATATCACCAATTGTTTATTGTAGCCAAGTTTTCTTCAATATAGCCTTCGCCACTGGCTGTACGTGCGTGTACATATACATACAACAGAGCAATTTTAGAATACCCCGCCACAAAAATTGACCAAACGTTTATAGGGTACCGAACGCTTCACCAATGATCCTAAGACTTTAGCTTTTTTAAGTAACACTAAACCTAATCCTAATCCTAACCCTAACCCTAACTCTAACTTTAACTCTAACCCTAGGTCTTCAACGTTAATGTACATTAACCCTATTGGTGGGGTATTTTAAAGTTAAACCCATGTAACGAGAATTTAACAGAATTGTACTCAAGATTTTGAAATACTGTATATATTAATTTAGAGTAACAAAAATTGGTTTTCTACATACAATAGTCATAATAATCAGTATAACAATCAGTAAGCATCAGTACATGTTTGCAATATACGGTAGTTTTACATTGTTTTTGGTTGAGTACTTGTAGTGTGAAGTTGATGGTACTAGCCTGTGTGAAGGATGATGTGCTGTGATCTAGTTAATTGAGGTGTTGCCCTTGCCCGTTTAGGCGTTTACCCAAGTTAAGTTAGAAATATCACAAAGACCGCACATTCAAATCTCAAACTATACTTACTAATTTGATAAAAACTTGTACAATTTTGTTGAAAGTGATGAATTTCTAGTTTTTAATATATATTCAAAAATCAAAATGCTTGACATCACGATTGAAAGGATCCTTTTTTGATGGTTTTAAGTAGTTTTAAGCAAGTTTAGTAATTAAAGTGTACCAATCACAATTTGTAGTTGTTTTTTTAATAGGGATCTATAAAAACATTATGAAAGTAGAATGTATAAAATCTACCTGAAAGAACTGTAAAAGGCATTTTATCAGTAAATGGTTAAGGAGTAAGAAGATAATATTGTATCACAATGATTTTAACAGATCAATATTCTTTTATGGAGGTGCACTATTCTAAGCACACCTGTGCTGTATTGTGCCGTTTGATTAGAAAAATAAAGATTGTACAAAAGTATTAATTCTGTTTCTTAAAAAGTATTTTCGTGTATTAAAGAGTTGAGGGTATTGTATTCCCATGAGAACTTATGATTCCTGGTTTGTAATTCTTTTTATCTTCCATTTTCTCCTTCTCCCTCTGACCATCTTTTGTCATGTATTCAACGTCTTATAATTCAATCACTTCTCCTTCAGTTTATCATTTTCTACTCCTGAAGATTGAAAAGTCAAGCTTTAGGGTATAAAAATGTAAAAATAATTTAATAGTGAGAATACAACATCATGATAAATGTACATGTAGGTACATGTAATGCATCTTACCTTCATATTCAATTTGTTCATTATTAATTCTGATTTTTTTTTCTTAAAATGAATTATATCTGTCCTTTGATTTCCATTTGTTTTTATTCAAGCCACCAATGAGTGGAAGCTGTCTTTTAAAACACTCCAGATACATTGACCTTGACATGTACATGTACAATGTACTTATAGAGGAAGGATGTGAGACAAAAAAAACCCCCATTGTCTTGAAGTAGACTAATTATAGTGCTAGCTGTCCTTTACACTGTGTACTAGAGGAAACAAGGAAATGGCTGCGTCTGATATATCCTGTGGAATATTTCCCTCTAAATTGGCTGCATACCAGTGTAATAATAAGGGAAAAGTTGTTTACACAATGTGACACATAGTGATTTAATTGTGTATTATTGTCATAAAAGCAAACAGATTTGGCACATAACTACATGAAGAGGAATGTGCTAAAGGGACAATCATTCTGTGAATCTTCCGGATAAATAAAAATCTATTAGTCTATTTTGAGACTAGCTCCCGGACTAACTCCCTGGTACAACTATGTACATGTACTGTACGTGTACAAACTACAAAGGCAACCCCCCTAAAGAAAAACACCTTTATGTGGCCTTATGTTGGTTAAAGGAGAATTAAGTCCAACAAATCCAAGTTTAACTTGATTGTTTTGTTCTTTCTTTACCAGTATGTACATGAAGGTATGGGTGTAGCTGTGTGTATGGAACAGGAAGAGGCATGTAACATAGTACACACTCTCATTCAGTTGTATTAGTTTTGACTGTCACATTAATCACACCTTTTAGAATGATGGAATCATGTCGAGAACACTCTTCAACTTTTTGTTCTAATTCACCCACTAATACCATACCCATATATTGTTTATGAGATGTGATGTCTTAACTATTCATAATTTTTTTTTATCTTTGCAGAGCTGTGGGAAAGACATGTCTTCTCATCAGTTACACCACAAATGCATTTCCCGGAGAATACATTCCCACTGTGTAAGTATGAATATAAGATTGCAACAGAAAGAATCATATTAATATACACATGTAATATAAGACTATGAACTTAGGAATAGTGTACTGTGTACATGATACTAATATCACCCTGGCTTTTAGCCTACATGTAGCTGCCCTAAGGCAGCTGGAATGCTAAAAACATTTAAGGAATAAATTTCCTAATAGGTACCCATGTAATAAACACCTGAATGGAGAGTTGCAAATGTAGATAAATGTCTTGTCAGAGGACATTAGTGCAATGGCGGGACTTAAAACCTGAGCCTAGTGATCTACAGTCAGTGACGTATCTATGAGACCACAACACCTCTACTTGCACATTTCAGGTTCATTAGTATTTAAAAAGGCTGACAAAAATGAGGTAGAAAAAGTTACAGGCATGATTAGAATTCCCCCAATTTGTTATTTCCGTTGAATTGATATACCGTGTAAGTACCCATGCATTTGTATGAAGTGTGAACTTCCATGAACTTCCTGAATACTTTACAGAATCAATATTGAGCTAAATTGACTGAACCTGAACATGGAGGTTAAGCCACAGCACTACAGTACATAAACTACATTAGCATGATAGCAGGATCACAGCATTATACTTTTCTACTGAGTACATGTATATCAAGATATATTTTATTTCGGTCTGTTTGTATACATGCTCCATTTTGTGTCAGTAGTAATGAACAGCACTATCATACATGCACGGGGAAATAATTATGTCATCAATCTTACTGTTTTACTTAAGATGAAATTTCAATTTTATCTACCTACCCTAGATTTGACAATTATTCTGCCAATGTGATGGTTGATGGCCGCCCAGTGAACTTAGGATTGTGGGATACAGCTGGTCAGGAAGATTATGACAGACTGAGACCACTCTCTTATCCACAGACAGTAAGTCATCTCCTACCCTTCGGCACTCTTCTCTCTCTCTCTCTCTCTCTCTCTTTCTCTTTCTCTTTCTCTCTCTTTCTCTTTCTTTCTCTCTCTCTCTCGCTCTCTCTCTGTGTTTATCTCTCTCTCTCTCTCTCTCTCTCTCTTTCTCTCTTGCCCATAGACAATATACATGTAGTCCTATCTGCCTCTTACGTTGCCTCAGACATAAATCTTTTATATTACCTCTTTCGTTTCCTCTATTGTACCTTTAAAGGGACTTGGTAACATTGTTCAGATGAGAGTTAGTGGTGCTAAGGTAGTGACTTCAATGCTAGATGTACAATTAAAGATAATCTGAAAATTTGAGGGAAAACGGACCATTATTCATGGTACAAATTGGGAAAAACTGATCGGATCGATTCCTTAATTCTCTCAACTATATTATTACAATTTAATTACATTTTAGGTAAATGGAAATCGTCACAAAGCAATAAAATGGCTCTACATTCCATTCCAGACATTTAAGTGTTGACAGATTTTTTATAGCCTGTTTTATGTTTTTTTTTCATGGAAAAACGGTTGGGAAAATTCAAAAATGGTTGGGAGAATTTACTGTAAATCACTGTTAGGGGGTGTCGTACATCAACGCCTTCAAAGAAAACCATATAGATATCTTCGTGGTTTGAGATTTTTGTCAGGATTTTTTGCATGTCAGAGGCTTAGTACAGTGAAAGGAATATGCAACATTTTATACAAAAATTAAGCAATTTTTTTCATCCACCTTCAACAATGTTACCAAGTCACTTTAAAGAGAAGATTGAGTTTTGTATATAATTACGTTTTAAATGAAATGTATAAGACTGTGCTTCATTAATTAATTAATTATAAGAGTTATAGTAATGATTATGATAGTGATAATAATGACGATGATGATGATGATAATCTAATAATGATATTGATAATAATAATGAGAATAATACTAAGCTGCCATTATAGTGCTTTTAAGAAATACATTTTTGCGGGGTACCCATCTACCTCACCTGGGTGGAGTGTGGCAAATGTAAATTATATCTTGTCTTTGGACATTGGTGCTGCGACAGGTATTTGAACCCCATAACTTGTGGTTCACAGTCTGGGGACTTGTCCACTGGACCACAATATAATTAAAACTGAAATATTTTATTTTTTAAATTTCAGGATGTATTTCTGATTTGCTTCTCGTTGGTGAGCCCTGCTTCCTTTGACAACGTTCGTGCTAAATGGTATCCAGAAGTGAGTCATCATTGTCCTAACACACCCATCATCTTGGTTGGAACCAAGTTGGATCTTCGGGATGATAGAGAGACGATTGACAAGCTTGCTCAGAGGAACCTATCACCAGTCACATACCCTAAGGTAATCACACAAAAATCTGCTTTTTTACAGATTTACTGGCTGCATGGTAAAATCATGATTCAGTTTATTACTTGAAGCATGATTTTGCCATAGCCATGCATCCGGTTATTACAGGAAAGCATGACTTCAAAATTTGCATAATTTTATATATTACCAGTGGTATCGATTCCCGATATCGCATATATCGTGTTGATATCTTGTGCAGTCAGTAACAAAATCTACACTGTAATTGACCAATCAGATTGCAGGGATTCTTCTACCCATTTTATAATCTTTTTTAATGCATGTTGAATTTCTAGATTGATGTTCATGGTCCAGTATCGTTTGGATGTCATCAAATTTGTTATGCTGGTCCTTTATGAATCTTTGAAATGGTCTGTTCTTAGTGCATCCATTGAGAAGGATTCAAACAATTCTCTCTCTCTTTTCTTTGTTTGCAGGGTTTATTAATGATGAAGGAGATTAGTGGTGTGAAGTATTTGGAATGCTCTGCTCTCACTCAGAAAGGACTCAAGACAGTGTTTGATGAAGCTATTCGAGCTGTACTCTGCCCAGATCAGAACAAGAAGAAGAAGAAGGGCAACAAGTGTAGATTAATTTGAACATGCACAAAAATGTCTTAGTACCATGTTTGTTTCAAAATGAGTTTCATATACATACTCCTGGCACCTTTGGTATATGAGCCAGAAAATATCACTTCAAGTGAAAGAATTATTTTTCTACTTGAGAGAAATTATGTCATTTTGATCAAAAGGGTTTAACAAATTTCATGGTATGACATGCAAGGAGTCTATATGTCCATGACAACCAGACTTTGTATCTTATTTTGTTATCTAAATTTCTGTTCCATACTGTTATTTTATTCTTCCAATATTATTTGTTGTTTTTTATGGCATATAATACAAAAAACTGTTTTTATATCAAGTTAAGTATTTTTTAATTTTCAAAGCAATGCCATAACATGTGGTTTCTGTAAGTTTGAGTTTAGTAAACAAATTAAAAAAGAAAGAAAATAAGAAAGAGTTTACATTACACCATTAATGTGGTTGAGCTTTGCTTGTGTTTATATGTACAAACTTTGTATGTATTATTTACAGTTGAGATGTGACTGTCCCATGTAAATTGCTTACTGGATTATGTATTTAGGTATGATAAGAGCTTTTATTAAAGGCCGGAGTCGAGATAGATTAGAAGAAAAATGTTTTGATAAGTCGAGAATGAGACAGAATAAATGTACAAGAGCACATGAAGTTAATTGCAGTACAGTGAGTTAATATAAGATGCTACTTTGTAAACATTGTAAGTTACATGGAAGCTTCTTGGTATTTAAATTCCATTGCATGTCTTATAGGCAATAACAACATAATTGCATGACTTATATGTATTGGTTACAATAACTGTACAATTAATGAAGCAGTGTAAGCCAATGTAACTAAACCTTCATCAAGTTAGTAGAACATTTCTATTATCTCCATTTATTGTGAAAGATGGTATTTTAAGTGATCTACTTAGGTCCACACTAAGACTCTCAACCAGTCTCCAAGTGAATGAGATCAATCCTTAAAAGCAAGTTGGAGTTGATGAAGGTGGAGTTCAGAATGGATTGGAATACATTTATTTGTCTTTGCTTGTTTGTAACCCCCACATTCCAAAGCCAAACATTTTGTTTGTACCAATGTCTTCCATTAAATATCTTCACACTTAATCAAAAGAATGTTATAGATTCTCAAGGCTAACAAGTTTCATTTGTAGACATGTTACGCAGATATTTCTCTACCTGCATCATTTAATTTAATTTTGAGAGAAAAGCACTTATGGTAGGGAGTATAACTCATTGTTTTTACCATGCTATGAACAAATGGAAAGGAAGAAAAGCTTCATACATACATTAATGTGCTGTTGACAGATACGATATATTTGAATATTATTTGGTCTCTATCGAATCTGTACGTTTGTTTGGGGGTTTGTGTGGCTAAGTTTATGTAAAAATATATATTAATTGTAGGATTTAGTCGCTGGTCATCGAAAAAGCTTAGTTGCAATGTATGCTACTCCTGTACATGTATATAGTTTTTGTATTTTGGCCTTTTTTCCATTGTAGATAAAAGAAGAGATGATACAGAAGAGAATATTTGTCACTGGTGGTATATCCGGAGCTCGGAGGGAGGGAAGTGCCCTCCAAAATTTCTTGTGCCCCCCTCCCCCACCCAGTACAAAAAAATAAATTGGAAAAAAGTATATTTCAATGCACTGTAAAGTTCTTTGATGCATTAGAATGTCAGTTTTGATATCTAAAGTGCATTTTCATTTTCACGATGTCACTTCACTTCACTTCAATTTTTGTTTTGTTATGCTCTCTCCCACCCTGAATATAATCTGGCTATGCCTCTGATCTTTTAGCTGTACATAGCCATTGAATATATCATCATGTCCATTTCAGGGAGGGGGGGGGGGGTGTGATTTTACCAGGGGGTAAATATTTGTTATCATTAAAATTTTATATTACAAACATATGCAAAATGTAAATAATTTTGTCCTAAGATTTCTTGGAATTTCCCCACACCTGATATATTCCCCATTCAATTTACATGTTGATTTGATATCTATTGCATGCCATGTTTGGAATATGTAGAAGAACATATCAACAAAATTCGTCCTGCAGACACTATTTGGTCATGTCTGTTTCATTATCATTCTTTGAGTGTTAAAGTGGTTCGGTAGAAGTCTGAACATCGAATGCAACGAAAAATATGTCTTTCTTCTTTTTGGCTCAGTATTTCTTAATAACATGATGTGAATCTTTCAGTTTTTACAACCAATGCTACAAAAAAATGCACTCCTAATTATTTTAGAATATCAGAAACCATTTACTGCACTTTAAAAGCTGTATCTATAATTACTTAGTTTAGCCCCAATACTTCTAAGAAATTTATATCAATATATTATCTGTATCACAAGCATTGCATGAATTTTGTGCCTAATAGAAAGAATTTGTATGTATCTAAAGACAAATATTTTCCAGTTTATCATCACCTCAACCATTTATCTTGTTAGATTAAACACTATAAAATTATAAGAATATGTAATCATGAATGATGTAACAATAAAGGGAAATAAAAAATAATCCAGATTCATGACTTGTTATTTTGTATTTTACCATGTGTATACATGACCATTATGAAAAACAGTTTTGGCTGATCTTGTTATCCTGTATAGATATTTTTAAATAAATAAATAAATGAATGAATAAATATTATGATTCAATGTAGGTCAAAGGTAATGTAGAGTGATCAAAATTCAAAAAACTTAAATTCATATCAAATGGGAGTAGGTTAGACCTAAAGACTTCTTTTTCTACACGTCTCGTGAACTCAGGGATATATGCTTTGTTATTATTCTCATTGTTTATTAAAACATTCTCTGCTACCCCTAATAAAAGAAACCTGCATATAATATATACATACCGGTACAGAGAATGAGAGAGAGAGAGGGGGGGGGGGGGGGGGGGGTGTCTAAAGATATATATTTACATACATGGTTATTCCTTTTGGAATGTATATTGACAGAAAAATTATAAAATATGACGTGTTGCTTGCTCGATCCCTTTATCTGTCAAGCTATTTCATGATCAGCTACGTCAGGACTCTCAAAATGATAGCTTGAATTGACAATAAAAATTTATACAATTACGAAATTTATAGAAATGCATGAATGTAAGATTATATAGTTGAACCATACTAAATTATATTCGTGCATATTTGAACTTGATATGCAAAAAATAGATGATGCCCTCCTTTTTTTTCTTGATTGATTGATTGATTGATTTTTATTCGACAAGCTTCCAACATACAACAATATACAATAATAACAGATCAAAAAAAGTCAGCTTGAACAGGATAACCCACGAAAGCTCGAGAGCTTATTTCCAGTGGGGTCCTTACAGACATGTATAAAATTAATAAGTTAAAATAGTAATATTTACAGACAGATAAGAAAATTAAAAGAACTACTTATTAAAGATAATAATAATAACAACATTAAACTGATGATAGAAATGATATTAAGTACAAGAAGAAAAAGAAGAAGGAGAAGAAGAAAAGGAGGAGAAGGAAGAAGAGGAAAATAATGATGAATTTGTAGAATTTTCTATAACGTACGAAAACATAAGTATATACAACATGAAAAAGTATGAACCGACAGAAGAATAAAAATTTCAATCATATAACATGTCATTCACTTCTCTTCTCTGACTGTCAAGTATTAGGTATTCCTTTAATTTCCTCTTAAAATGATCATAGTTTCCTATTTCTTTTACACCATTGGGAAGGGAATTCCAATGTTTTATGGCATTGTAATAAAAACGAATTTCCAATACTACCTACTCTTTCAGGTAAGTTAAAGTTGAATCGTCTATTTCTTGTATTATAATCATGTACGTCAGTAACAAGATCGAAGTTGGATCGAATATAATGATTCGACCTAGTATGATATATTTTATGCACATGATGCAATACGAGTTGTTTTGATCTTTGGTCGACTTCAAGAAAACCAGCTTTAGAAAGTTCGCTGTAGCCAACATGAGTTCTTGGACCAGAACAGTTGATAAATCTCACCATTTTGTTCTGTATAATCTTCAACTTCTTTTGATCTGACTTGTTTATGTTACTATACCATGCAGGGTTAGCATAGTCAAATAAACATTGAATAAGAGCAAAACAGACGTCTTGCTTTTAAATCCATACAACTTTGATATCTGTACAAAAATTTCAGACGAGAATTTGCTTTTTTTTACAACTGATTCTACTAAAGATGAAAATGAAATTGCGCTAGCCAACTCAATGCCTAAATACTTCACAGACTCTTTTCTCTTGATTGCTTGATTATTGTGTGTCACTTTGAATTCAAATGACTTTTTAGAACTACTTCCATTCTGGCCCCATATGTCCGTTTTTCCTCGCCACACCCTCCCCCCCCCCCCCCCCCCGCAAATTTGAAAAGTCTATGAAATGTTGATGCTTGTTTGAAATTTTTGTTGCTACCCTCGGCCCTCTGTTAGACAACATACTTATCTCTAATTATGAGAAAACAAATACTAGGTCTAGTGGTAGAGATCGAGTGGACAAAACTACAGCCAACGCCTGATTACGGTAGTCTGCACCGAACAGGTCATTTGTTGCTTCCTTCACACTCTTATTTCATAAACCGTAGGAAAGTAGCAAACAAATGAAAAAAATCAGGGTGTTTCAAAGAAGAGGGTTAACAAATGTATCAAGTGCCAAACCAATTTTACCATAATTTGCCCCCTCCCCGGTCCTTCTTTTTGACTTGAATAATATGGATAAGATTATACAGCCTTGTACAGAAGCTAGGCTAAACTCCTTTTCGCGATCGCAGATCTTGAAACTTCGTCGCGAAATGATTGGAATGCGTGTATTGGGCACCGTATCAAAAGAGCAGCGAAATTAACGCGCGAAATTACAATAGGTGAAAGAAAACGGCGCGCCGTGTGCTCAAAGTGAAAATCTAACTTGTCGATCTTTGTGGTTGGATTTGTGTTAAGAAAACCCCAAAGACACGTTTGGATCAGATCACATCAACATGCCAGGTCAACGATCAATAACGTGAGTTTGTTTCCGATCTAACTTAACCTAATTTAGATTTTAGTAGCTGACAAGTCTGATTGTTACACTTTACAGATGATCGGACTCCGGCCTCGATCGGGATGGTCGAGGCCGCTGCCGCTAGCACCACTCGCAAGGGCCAGGGGGAGAGCCCAGGCGTAATGGGGGTACCGTCTCGTCTCTCGACAATGCAGGGGTGTCTTTGTCTATGACTTACTTTATTCAGTAGACCCCTCTAGTACTTTATTCAGTAGATCTACTAGTAGACCTACTGACAGACTAGCAGATTCTACCTCTTTCTAGTCATGCAACAACAAATATTTAAAAGAATCATGATGATGAATGCACATGACATTGACCTGTTCCTGTTGACAGAGCTTTGCTAGTTTGCTTATGAAGTTATGTTTGAAATTGAATGTTTTTTAATTTGTATTGTTAACAACAATGTTAATTTTTATTTGTTAATGTTATAGTACATTTGTAGTATTGTACCAGTCGTCTAATTGTACCTAGGCTTAAGTTAAGTTCAATCTTCATCAAGTTCATGAACCTCGGGCTTCAGTTAGTTCAGGCTTCACCTTGGCCTGGGCTTCGCATGTACATGTTGTTGTTTGCCGAGTAGAGTTCAGCGTTATTATTAATCACCAACAATTCAAAAAATTATTAATAAGAGAAAATCATTTTTGTTTTTGTTTTTGGGTGTCCTGTATTTTTGTCAGGGTTTTCATTAATATTTAATCGCCCGAACCGAAGGTGAGGCCGTGAGGGTGATATGACAAGTCGTATTGCCCTGAATTAGGCAGTCAATATTACTATTATTAACCACATCAGACATCTAGAGCAAACAAGAAACTCTTACTATCTTATACTCTTAAATTATGCAGGCTACACAGGGTTTCCTAGCATTAGAAGTTGCAAAAACATTGTCAAACCAGCACTGTTCATCCAGTGTTTGACAGATTTTCAATACACTGCAAACAGTTTGCCTAGGGTGTGATTGTTACGTCACAATAGAGTTCGCGCAAAGTGCGCATTTTCTTATACACGATGCGCGATGTAAATTACAGTAGCTGATGCGCGATGTAAATTACAACTGGCTCTATATTATTGCTCACTAGTTTAACACGCATTTTGCCATTGACTTTTCAGAGCGGGCTAAAATATTTGTTCATTGGTTTACTGTATAACCATATTGACCGGCAAATTACACACAAATCCCATTGACTTTTCTGAGCGGGCTAAAATATTTGTTCATTGGTTTACTGTATAACCATATTGACCGGCAAATTACACACAAATCCCATTGACTTTTCTGAGCGGGCTAAAATATTTGTTCATTGGTTTACTGTATAACCATATTGACCGGCAAATTACACACAAAATCCCATTGACTTTTCTGAGTGGGCTAAAATATTGTAATTTTGTTGGCTTATCCATCAAACCTTGAGGGCAATAACATTTAAAAATTGCCCTGCTCAGATGTCTGATACGGTTAATAATATTTGTTATCATCCTGTCCTTTCTTATTTGGCACCACCCTGACAAACCAATCCTGCATGCCATGGGGAGGGTTACTGTTATATTTTCCAACTAATGTTGTTTTCCTTGCTTCTCTTTTCACAGCTCTTTTTTCTCATCACCAAAGCCCAAGCCACCATTACCTGCTGAAGCAATTCCTGAAAACAAAACTAGCAACAAAAAGTAAGTGTAAATATGTAGCAGATGTTTAAAAAACAAAAACATAACAAATAATAAACAAACAAAGAAAAACAAATGTATGAATACTATTATTACAAGAACAGATTACTGTGGAGCCTTATTACTGACAAACTCCTTGGGATCATTACCTTCTTACAATTAAACCTGGGTCTAAATAAAGGCTAGAAAATAATAGAGTGCAAGGAATTGGGATTGGAGAAATTACTTTACAAATCACAATGAGAGATTGTTATGTACAACAGTTTTCTTTATACAGTTCTTCTGTAGTAAGCTAATCATTGCACATTGAAAAGTAAGATGTAGATCAGTGTGGGTTTAATTTGGATTAAGTTTAATGATATTTCATCGATACTTGTAAAATAAGACTTTCAGTTTCTTTTCTTTTCATTTGATAACATGTGGGAGCCATGAAATCAGCCTGGGTCCATATATCATGATACTCCACAATATGTTTCTTTGCTTCCCAAGCTCCCATTGTTAAACATTTCCCAACATTTCTGATATAGAGGCCTAAAATGGATTTCTTTTTCCCCTATATTTGCAGGGTTAGATCTCCACTTCATAATAGGAATGGCTCACCTCCAAGTGAAGAACCTGCTAAAAAGAAAGCTAGAAGGATTCTGGACAGTGATAGTGAAGAAGAAGAAAATGAAGACCAGAAACCAACCATGATGGAGTGTGAGGAGAGCAAAGAAGAAGAAGAAGAAGAAAATGTAAGACCTGAACTGGTTCTTTCTAATCATCTTTAGGCAGTTATTTGTCAGTGATAATAAATACACTTTACATTGTCTTACTAGAATAATTAAATTCATTTTGAAATAAAAAGGGAGATGGGGGGGGGGGGGGCTGTGTTTTATGTGACCCACTCTAGCTTGTTGATATGTACGCCCTATAAACCACCTCAGAGATAGCACTTGTACAATCGACCACCAAATATGCACAGATCTTTCAAACATGAGAAAAGCCCATTATGAGCATTGTAGAATAATCACTGCCAAAGTTAGGGAGGAGTCAAGAATACCTGTTGTTCCCTCTTGTAGATAATATGTCAACGATTTTGTCATAGATGTCCCATTGGTGCATAAATGATGTAGATGTAGATATACATGATTACATAGCCTTCATAAACAAATATTCAGCATTTGTATTGATGGGTTTTACAGTTTTGTACAGGCGACCTTTATCTGCATATAAGCAGATCTTATCTATAAAGTGTGGCTTTTTTTGGATACAATTTATGATACTCCCTGGACATTCGCAATAAATTTAAGTTTGTTTTCTGGTACATGTACATACCTACAGTTATATGAAAAGAAAACCCCAGGACCTTGTAACAATGTTTGAATGCATGACCTTATTAACAGGGATGTACTCTCTACTACACGTCACTTAATATTACGTGAATACAGTCAAACTTGCCTTAGCAGCCTCTCCAAAAACAGGCCACTTGTCTATACTCATCATTTGCTTTCAAGCTTTGTTTTATCATGTGATACAAGAACAACTTAATATTGCTATTGTTGTGTGTAAATAGCAAATGTGTAAACCAGTTTATTTGAAATGAAAGAGTAATGATTGTTATTAACAGGAGAGCAAGGAGGCAGAGGTAGTGGTTGCTTCTCAGAGTGTCGAGAAAGAACAGGTGTCTCCAACGTCTGCTAAGAAAGATGTCCCTCTCCGAAAGACGGGTAAGAGAATCAATTACATTATTACCTAACAATCACTTCAGAAAAATACATGTATTCTTAGCAAACTTGCACGATTGCAGCTATTGTTCTTTGTATGATAACACTTGTTCCCAGAAAATGTCTTATTTAATTGTACATGTATTGTATTTATTAAACTTCATTGATGTACATCAAAATTCTGTTTATAAACATATAAATTAATTTACAATGCAATGTAACAAATCAATATTCATGTATTATCAATGAGACAAAAACAAGTTGTTAGAGTGATCTAAAACAACTATGTTTTGTATTTGTTTTTAGCCCGCAAGCACATGAGGAAAAGAGAGTCTCCCCCAAAACAAGTAAAGCAGGAGTGTGATTCTAAAGACCTGGAACAGAATGAACTAGAAGTGAAGAAAGAGGAAGAGGACAAGAAGATTGAACAGACTACTTCACAAATAAAAGAGGTATGGTTTTAGAATAAATGTTAACATCACATTCAATTGACCCATCAGTTCTAAAAACTAAGTTTTCAAACATTATATCCCAAAACTCAGGAATGCTGTGATATTCTTTGCTCATATCCTGACTAATTGAATACTATTTTACATTTTTTGTAATAAAGAACACCTACGTGTTGAATTAGAAGTGGTATTGAAATAGTTACAGGTATAGGTATTCTTAAAATAAAATGTTGATAGTACAGGTACATTTGCTAAATACACTGTGAATATGCACATACTGATGAAGTTCATTTCCATTTGCCTACAAACTATTTTAAAAGTGTAAATGAAATCTTTAGTTCAAAATATATTAAGATTAGATTGTTTAATATTGCAGATAAAATTAATAAATGTATGTCAGTAGCAAATGTTGTGGTAAATCAATATTACTGGTCAAATATATAATGAGATACTGTACAGTGGAAAGCTTGTCAATTTTTGTTTGATGATTTGGGGTAGCAGGTCATCTACTCCCCAATCAAGTATTCTAAATGTCTGTTTGAGTTAGGTCAAATTGAAAATAAGATGGCCCTATGTGTCACTTTGTGGCTTGGGTTTATCTAATAATCTGCACTGTACTGTTTGTTTTACATACTCATTCTTAAAAACTAAACAATAAACTGAGTTGTTATAAAGGTAAATTGAAGAAGAAAAAAAAAGGATATTGTGAGTGATATTAAAACGATGACATCATATTTTGACACTCTTTAGGAACCAGCCTCGCCAACAGAGAAAGCACAGAATCAAGAACGCTCATCTTCCAAAAAATCACCAAAATCAAGGAAAGACAAATCATCTCCCAGTGACAAGAAATCCAAGAAGTCATCTGAGACTGATAACAAGAAGGAGAAAGAAAAAAACAGAGGAGAAGAAGGAGGAAGAGAAACCGATGGAGAAGAAGGAGGAAGAGAAACCGATGGAGAAGAAGGAGGAAGAGAAACCGATGGAGAAGAAGGGAGCTAAGAAGGAAACCAAGAAGGAGAATGAGAAGCCAGTGGAGAAGAAGGAAACCAAGAAGACTAACGCATTCGTGTGGGGCAGCAGCGATAAGAAGTGAGTGGGAAATCATTGTTTGGGTGTTTTGACTCAGGAAGATCTCGGGAAATAGTTATAGTTTTATTTGAATATTATGTCGTGCTTTAGATATGATAGTTAAAGTAATGTCTTCTCATTCTATCTTGTTTTAGATCTGATGTCAGGAACTAGTTATAAATCTGTCTCTTTTTATTCCATCGTAATATCTTGCTTTAGATCTGATGTCAGGAACTAGTTATAAATCTGTCTCTTTATTCCATCGTAATATCTTGCTTTAGATCTGTTGTTAAGACCTCGGGGACTAGCTTTAGATCTGTTTTCTCATTCACACGCCTTTTAATGTTTTTTTAAACAGATATATGTCGCCATACAAATGCTGTTCATTATCATCATCATCATTCTATTAATCTATCTTGTTTTAGATCTGATGTTAAGACCTCGGGGACTAGCTTTAGATCTGTTTTCTCATTCACACGCCTTTTAATGTTTTTTTAAACAGATATATGTCGCCATACAAATGCTGTTCATTATCATCATCATCATTCTATTAATCTATCTTGTTTTAGATCTGATGTTAAGACCTCGGGGACTAGCTTTAGATCTGTTTTCTCATTCACACGCCTTTTAATGTTTTTTTAAACAGATATATGTCGCCATACAAATGCTGTTCATTATCATCATCATCATTCTATTAATCTATCTTGTTTTAGATCTGATGTTAAGACCTCGGGGACTAGCTTTAGACCAGGCTCTTCATCTTATCATCCAGTGGAAGGCGCATGCTGGAAAAAAGACGAGAAGTAAGTCTGTAATACTTCTTAATATTCCTTTTCATAACCATTTTTGTTTTAATAATATTTACCACACTGATATGCTATTGAAGAAAAAGCTTTTATGACATGTTAACAGAGTTCTGTGATTTACTATCCATTGGAACATTTCATGTAGTGCGAGATTTTGACATATCCTACATACATGCTTCTAATAAAAACAGTAATAACATCCATGTACTATGTGGTTGATACAATTACCTTTCATGCTTTTCCATTTCTCTCTTTTTCCATTTTTCTATTAAAAAAGCTGAATTTTGATATCTAATGTATTTTTTCTTTACTGTTTGCAGTGTTCCATACATGGCCTTAGCCGACACCTTTTCAATTATTGAAGAAACGAGTGGAAGACTGAAGACGATTGAGATCTTGTCAGACTTCTTGACCTCTGTGATGCTCTTGACCCCCGGTGACCTTAAGATGTGTATCTACCTGTGTCTCAATAAGTTAGCTCCAGCTTATGAAGGATTAGAGCTGGGTATTGGTGATACGGTTCTCATGAAGGCCATCGCTCAAGCAACAGGTTGGTTTCAATTAGTTACAGCTTACAAGATTTGAATCTAAGGCCTAAAAAAAAAAAGATGTTGTATTACCCTTTGTGACCGACCCAAAAATCTTGAAATCTATGGTCGGCTTTTAAAAAAAAGGTTTTTTTTTTTTACATTTTTATGAAAAAGTATGTATTAAAGCATTCAAAACTGAGAAATATCAGCCCAAAGAGGGAGTTTTAAAAAAAAAAGAGAAAAAAAAAAATATTTCTGACCGACCCATGTTTTTTGGCACCTAAAGGGCAATACAACATCTTTTTTTTTAAGGCCTAATAGACCTCTTTAATTATGTTGATGCATGTTTCTCTCCCTAACCCCTTTTTACCAGCACTCTCATTCACCTGCTATGGATGGAATCCACTTTGCATACATTCAATGTTGCTATGTCGAACAGGCCCTCTGGCAAGCTTTTTAGTTGTCAAGAGAAACTTATTCAAAACATGTGCATAATATAAGTAAACATGTCTATTGATCCTGACATTAAGCGCAATACAAATGTTATTATTAATATCATCATTATTATTATCTCTGAGTGTTTTAAAGAAATATTATGTGTGAGTCCTCGTAATTTTTCAATTAGCTACATTAACATTGATCCTGACTTAACTGTCTGATGTACAGAGAATGTCTTTTATATTGAAGATTGTCCTTTCTCTCGTAATCTCTTGTAACAGGTCGATCAGTTGACAAGCTGAAAGTTGATGCTGCTGAAAAAGGAGATTTAGGGCTGGTTGCAGAGGTATGAATTACATTAATCTCAACTCATTCTTTGAGTAGATAATCCTTGGGATTAAGGTGATGAATCATGGAACTCATGTTTCCACTGTTCTCCTATATACTGCTCCAGGAGCAGGAGACTAATTTCATTCAACATTGCACAAACAGATTTTAATATATCTTTTCTAGCATCTACATATCATTTAGCTGTATCCCGTGTGAACAGAGCTGCAAATCCTATCAAAGATGGTGGTGGATCTAGGGAATATGATGCTTGGGACAACAACAAAAAACATATTTTCCCAATTCAACAATAAACAAAGAAGTCAAACTTTGAAGTGATGAATTATTAGCTTCATAGTTATAACTTCAGACTTTGGCAATCAATTAAAACCAGTGCCTTGTCCTTCCTGAAATTCCTCATTATAGTTCTGATTTTGACCAGATAGGCAAGACAGCTATCTCGATAGAGTCTGATACAGGGATTCTTCATGCTTATAACCACTGTTTTGTTGTTGTTTTATAATGTGTTTATAATGAGGTGTAAGTAATGATCCAGTGGAATAAAAGGATTTATTGCTGTCATTACAGAGCAGTCGAAGCACACAGCGTACCATGTTCACTCCTCCAAGGCTTACAATCAAGAAAGTCTTCTCAAAACTCAAAGATATTGCTAACTTGAGTGGAAATTCAGTAAGTTCATTCTCCTGTTTCTTGTAGAATATATCAAGAATTGCCATTTCCATATGCACTCAAATGATTCAATTAACCGCTTTATAATAATAATAATATGTCTTGTTTACCCAGGGTAGCCTCATCAGTATTCATACTGAATGTTGAATATTAGATAGATAATTTGTCTCAATTTGTTTAACCACTTGGCTGCGGGCCACGTAAATGTACGTGGTCTCACTCTTGCATGCCCTGTGCGCACCACGTACATGTACGTGCTTAGGACATTGAACTTTCAAGACTGTAGCACTGCCTACTGCCTAGCCCTACTGTGTAATTAGCACTACAATGATGTCATACAGGTCTAGAACAGTAGATGGCGCTCTTTCAAATAAAAATCTGGCCTTTTCGTGTACAGCGTACATTTTTGGAACAGTACAAAAATGCTGTAGCACGGGGTTTGCTGCTCGTTTTAAGCCAATAGCAGTCAAGTGGTTAAAGGTAACAGTGACATTGTCCCTTTCCTCCCCCTCAGAAGTGATAATAATAAAAGATATCCTGAACAAACAAAAATACAGAACAATGGCAGTTATGAAAGTTAAAATAAAACAGATAAATGCTTTACTCTTCTAGATTTTCATCTTCGCTATATTATTTCATAATCTGGAATACGCTGTACCATTTTCCACCTGCTTTGATAAGCTTAAATGCCACCACAACATTGTTTATTTATAGGATACCAGTGTGGTTACACTCCAACCATGTCATATGAAATACCTCTGAACCACAGCTGAAGAAGAAATTCCCAATGATATACCACAAGGTAGTAGTCGGGTATTGATTGGTTGAGTAGCACTTACTATGAGGGTACCAGTTTTAAGAAGTTTATTTTCTATGACTTTAGTTTTTAAGATACAACCACATACATTGTTCTAGTGTTATTTGTTGCTGTTTTAATACAGTTTTACCACATACATTGTTTCTCTTGATATTTGTTACTGTTTTACAGTGTATGTCAAAGAAGGTTGATCTGATCAAAGGGCTGCTTGTAGCTTGCAAGAATAGTGAAGCAAGATATCTTATCAGGTATGTACTAGCATCTTAATCAACTCAAGAGCTATTATGTAATGTACTTCTTAACTTGCTTACCAACTCTTCAATGTATTGTTTATTCAGTTCCTATCCTGCTAGCAAGTGTGATAATTTGTTGTAGATAATGATGCGATGAAAGTAATGTTAAAAAAAAAGAAAAGAAAATCAGCTGTGATGTTAGCGCTGGAGTCTATTTGTGAAGAAAAAGTGAAAGAAAAACCAACTGCAACCATAAAATGTACACTTCCAAGTAGGTCCAAAGGGTTGGTGGACTGCGACTTGTGGCCATTAACAGATTCTGAATTTAGTCTAGTCACAGATCTCACAATTATCCTTTCCATAATCTTACATGAAAACTGAATATATTTGTTCTTATATCTTTCTTTTCAGATCACTTGGAGGGAAGTTAAGGATAGGTTTAGCAGAGCAGTCTGTTCTCGTAGCTCTAGGGCATGCAGGTGCTCTAGCGAAACCAGAGTCAGGTATGTCATGAATCTCATTTAAACCAGTATCATGTACTAAGCATTTTTGTTTTGTTTACACATTCTTTAATGTCTACGCTTTAATAAATGAAAAAATGTATGGTACAGGTAAATAGACTATATTAAACATGCTTATGTGGACCTTGTGACAGAATAGCCTTGGTGCTTACTGCTGAACAAGTTATGCAGTATAGTCAAACACTACCACTACCCCCACCACCAACAACAACAACAACAACACCACCAACAACACCACCAACATCACTACCACTACCTCTACCACCACCACCACCACCACCACCACCACCACCAACAACAACAACATCACCAACAACACCACCACTACCTCTACCACCACTACCTCTACCACCACCACCACCACCACCAACACCACCAACAACACCACCAACAACAACATCACCAACAACACCACCACTACCTCTACCACCACTACCTCTACCACCACCACCACCACCACCAACAACAACAACAACAACATCACCAACAACACCACCACTACCTCTACCACCACCACCACCACCACCACCAACAACAACAACAACATCACCAACAACACCACCACTACCTCTACCACCACTACCTCTACCACCACCACCACCACCACCACCAACACCACCAACAACTCCACCAACAACACCACCACTACCTCTACCACCACCACCACCACCAACAACACCACCAACATCACTACCACTACCTCTACCACCACCACCACCACCACTGATAATAAAGTTGTTGTTCTGACATGTTTCAATTAATTTGCATAGTTATTAAGCGTGAAGTTCTATTTGTCTTTAGATGAGATGATTCTGAAGAGCAAGGCCCATACATCAGACAGTGTGAAGAAAGCTATGGATGAAGCAGCACTGCTGGTCAAGACAGCTTACTGGTCAGTCTCTCACAAGCTAGCCTGCTTTCTTGTTTGGCTTTATTTACTCAAAATACCTAGGAATGTTCGGCATTAGTTCTTATTCATTCATTATACAATATTGCATGCTTGTGAATGTGTTAGTGAAAATACATAGCATTCAAGTCACAGGAGGGAAATTAACAAGAAAATACTGAGTGTAATCTTGTTTTGAACCAGCTACAAAAAAAACATTTCTTTATAAAAAGAGGTTTACAAGATGAAAAAAAAAAAAAAAAATCAACTTCTAACCCAAACATATATGAAATATGAATGTCAATGTCAATCCGGTGTCTCAGCCTCATTTCCAAGATAAGAAGTGCTAGAGACACAGTTATATCTGCATTTTAATAATGTGTTACCAATTTTTGATAGTACCTTTCGTGCACAGTAGAAAGAATAATGCCTGATCATGTAAATATCATTTGACCATTATAAGAGCCTACATTCTTAAATATATTATATAAACCTGTTCGACCTTATTTTAATAGTGAGATGCCTACATACGACGCCCTGATTCCGGCATTGTTATCCCATGGTGTGACGGAGCTACCCAACCATTGTCGTCTGACTCCATCCATCCCTCTCAAACCCATGTTAGCTCATCCTACAAAGGGCGTATCAGAGGTACTCAACAGATTTCAAGATACACCTTTCACCTGTGAATACAAGTATGATGGTGAACGTGCTCAGGTAAGGCCTTTATCGATTTGTTTGCTCACCTCTCTATGACACCATTATTGAGGTACATTTATTCATAATTCGCTCTGCAGCGCAATGTTTATTGTCACTGGATTCAAGCGTGCAAATGTTCGTGGCGATCGGCTGTGAAACGGCCGAGATCTTAGTGGTGGGGGGGGGGGGGGGTGTCAATCGATCCCCCCCCCCCCCCCCCAGTAAAAACCTGGTCTGAAATAGCCCAGTTAATTATCTGTATAAAATTATATACACTTAAAATATTGTATCAAACCATATTATGTTCATGAAAATGTATGATGAAAAAAAGAAAAAAGATGCAGAAACCAATAAATCAAAAAAATCAAATAAAAACAAATCAAAATAGGGTTAAACTCTAGAACAGACTCCCTCCTCCAGTGAAATCTTCACCAACAGTAGAAAAAGCAAACAGACTTTGAAGATATATCTTTGCTGAAAACATATATATTCATTCCTCGAAGTCACAAGGTCACTGCTTAGTAAATTGTTTATGTTTCAATTCTTAAGACATGAATGGACGGCACATCAAATCACTTTGAATCCAGTGGAAAATGTGCTATATAAATTGTGACTACCGTATTTGCCGGCGTAAAGGCCGCAGTATTTTTGGAAGAGAAAATATCAAAAAGCCGGGGTGCGGCCTTAACGGCGAAAGAGTAAAAGACAAAACAAAAATCAAGTCAAAACCCTCACGAATTTGCACATATGGGACTACGAACGGTACACTAACTATACCACTATGGTACAGGACATTTCAACACATCTTACCGACAATTTTATCTTGCATTATTGACATGAATACGAAAATAAATTGCTAAACCAACATTTGCCGATAGATCTTGATCTAAGTTCGTGCCAATGCATTGCAAAAATAAAGGAAGTACCATTTAACTGAGCTGCTGCGAAGCATCCATCCGAAGTCGCCATTTTGTTTTCCATTTCATGCAGTTTTGCATTACACCGTACATTGTGGTGGGGGATATATCGGACACCAAATCTGCCCGCGATCACTTTTTGAGCTTAACTTCCGGTAAATTATAAGAATATTGATGAATTTGGTATCAGTTTGTAAAAAAAAATAGTGTTTTTCAAGAAAATTACAATTATTTTTTTTTTTTTTCTTCCCCCTCTTGAAATGTCAAAGTTGGGGTGCGGCCAATGTGGCAGTCCGGCCTTATCGCCGGCAAATACAGTATCACATTAAATTTAACCAGTTATCCAAAAGTTTGGAGTGAACCCATAAATGATGGTGGGTATAAACGTGAAGATTGTTTTTGTTATGCCTCCGCCACCGAAGGTGGTGCCGGAGGCATCATGTTTTCGGGTTGTCCGTCCGTACGTCCGTACGTCCGTACGTCCGTACGTCCGTCCGTACGTCCGTACGTCCGTCCCGTTTGACCGTTATCACAATATCTCAAGAACCATTTAAGATTTAAACTTAAGACTCGGGAATAGTATTGTTCACCATAGGAAGACGATCTGATTAGATTTTGGAGTACGTAGGTCAAAGGTCACAGGTCACAGAGGTCAACTTATGAAATTCCTTGTATTGAGTTTGTTAGCGCGATATCTCAAGAACCATTTGAGATTTAAACTTCAAACTTAAGGATAGTATGTATCACCATAGGAAGACGATCTGATTAGATTTTGGAGCACGTATGTCAAAGGTCAAGGGTCACAGAGGTCAACTTATGAAATTCCATACATTGAGATTGTTATCATGATATCTCAAGAACCACTGGAGATTTAAACTTCAAACTTAGTGATAGTGTGTATCACTATAGGAAAACAATCTGATTACATTTTGGAGCACGTAGGTCAAAGGTCAAGGGTCATAGAGGTCAACTTATGAAATTCCATACATTGAGATTGTTATCATGATATCTCAAGAACCACTGGAGATGTAAAAACTTCAAACTTAAGGATAGTATGTATCACCATAGGAAGACGATCTGATTAGATTTTGGAGCACGTAGGTCAAAGGTCAAGGGTCACAGAGGTCAACTTATGAAATTCCATACATTGAGATTGTTATCATAATATCTCAAGAACCACTGGAGATTTAAACTTCAAACTTAATGATAGTGTGTATCACCATAGGAAGACAATCTGATTAGATTTTGGAGCACGTAGGTCAAAGGTCAAGGGTCACAGAGGTCAACTTATGAAATTCCATACATTGAGATCGTTATCGCGATATCTCAAGAACCACTGGAGAATTTTCACTTCAAACTTAATGATAGTATGTATCACCATATCATAATATCTCAAGAACCACTGGAGATTTAAACTTCAAACTTAATGATAGTGTGTATCACCATAGGAAGACAATCTGATTAGATTTTGGAGCACGTAGGTCAAAGGTCAAGGGTCACAGAGGTCAACTTATGAAATTCCATACATTGAGATTGTTATCATGATATCTCAAGAACCACTGGAGATTTAAACTCCAAACTTGTTCAAATTGCTCTATGGCGGAGGCATCATTTTCGACTGCGCGCAGTCAAAATTCCATCTAGTTTGTTTTGTTTCTGTAGATTCATCTCTTAGAGTCTGGTAAGATTCACATATACAGCAGAAACCAGGAAAACAACACCTCCAAATACCCTGACATTATCGCAAGGTGAATATTAATACTCTCTTCGGACTTTTGTAGACAAAGTTGTAGATGTAAGAAAAGCCTCATATGTTGCTGCTTTGAAGTTTTGTTGAAGACGCTCTTGTTTTCAGAAGCTTTTGAATAGTTTATGGTTGTGTGACCGTAAAGTTGCACTGGTAGGATTTTTTCCATCACAGCCTAGTAGAGTATATAGTAGCTGCACTATATAAATTGATCTAATTATTATTAATAATAGAAAGCTCTATGACGATGCAATGAAAAGAGTGAGTTCTTCTCTCTGATTTAAATCATCTCACAATGCAGATGGAATGGATCAAATCACCTTCAATTAGGTTAATCTACAATCTACTACAACAAAGAATTTTAATTAAATTTGACTTATGGTATTAAAGCATGATGAATGTACATAGGAAGATAAAATGATTAGCTTTGGAGAATAAAAAATCTAATGTTCTTGATTATATCGTGTGATTATATGTTATCAAGATAATTTGAAAGTGACATTTTATTCTATTGAATAGTCATTATATTTCATTACAATCATAGTCTTTTCATTTGTCTGTTATATATATATATATATATATATTAGTGTGATATATTAGTTTGATATACTTTTATATGTTACTGTTGCTGTTGTTACTGATATTATCGCTTGAAGAAAGTAAAATGAATTTAAAAAAATAACCTGAAATAAATATAATAAACTTGACTATTTTGTGTTTCAGGCTTTCCTCTTCTGTTGATGAGAAGGTAAAATCCAGTATCTTAGATGCAGAAGCTGTTGCTTGGGATGTGGAGAGGAAACAGATCTTACCGTTCCAGGTATTGAGTACGAGGAAGAGGAAGGACGCTGATGCCGGTGATATCAAGGTTCAAGTCTGTGTCTTTGCGTTTGATCTTCTCTATCTCAATGGAGAGGTAAGTCTGCTTTGTTCAAATCTATTGTTTTGTTCTTGCTCAAGAATGATTGAATACAAAGTTTCTTTGAAAAAAGAAGAAAGAAAAAAAAAACTGCTTTTAGTCAGCCCAATGAAAGTTTGATGATAATGATGATGATGATGGAAGAAAATAAATGTTCATTTGAATTGAATTGATGATGATGATGATGATGATGATGATGATGATGATTATGATGATGATTATGATGATGATGATGATGATGATGATTATGATGATGATGATGATGATGATGATGATTATGATGATGATGATGATGATTATGATGATGATGATGATGATGATGATGATGATTATGATGATGATTATGATGATGATTATGATGATGATGATGATGATGATGATGATGATTATGATGATGATGATGATGATTATGATGATGATGATGATGATGATGATGATGATGATTATGATGATGATGATGATGATGATGATGATTATGATGATGATGATGATGATGATTATGATGATGATTATGATGATGATGATGATGATGATGATTATGATGATGATTATGATGATGATGATGATGATGATGATGATTATGATGATGATGATGATGATGATGATTATGATGATGATGATGATGATTATGATGATGATGATGATTATGATGATGATGATGATTATGATGATGATGATGATGATGATGATGATTATGATGATGATGATGATGATGATGATGATGATGATTATGATGATGATGATGATGATGATGATGATTATGATGATGATGATGATGATTATGATGATGATGATGATGATGATGATGATTATGATGATGATTATGATGATGATGATGATGATGATGATTATGATGATGATGATGATGATGATGATGATTATGATGATGATGATGATGATGATGATGATGATTATGATGATGATGATGATGATGATTATGATGATGATGATGATGATTATGATGATGATGATGATGATGATGATGAAGATGATGATGATGATGATGATGATGATGATGATGATGAAGATGATGATGATGATGATGATGATGATGATGATGATGAAGATGATGATGATGATGATGATGATGATGATGAAGATGATGATGATGATGATGATGATGATGATGATGATACTGCTGCTATTTTTTTTTCACTCAGGGAAGCCTCATCAGCATCAATGTTGTTCTTTCTGTGGGGCCTGCAATTATTCTTACCCCAGCGTTTGCCAGATACCAATTTTACACCTGGGTAGAGAGAGGCAAATGTGGATTAATGTCTTGCCAAATGACGTTAGTGCCGGGCTGGATTTCGAACCCTCAACCTTTGGATTGCCATGACACATCTATCTGTTTGATTCAGTCATTCTTGTTGCAGTGAATTGTTGTGCATTTATTCAAAAGCCTGTTTGTTTTTGTTTCAGTCCTTAGTGAGGAAACCTCTGAGAGAGCGCAGAAGTCTGTTGAGGGCTCACTTCAAGGAAGTGGAAGGAGAATTCATCTTTGCTAAATCCATGATCTCGTCTGATGTAGATGACATTGCTGTATTCTTAGAGGAATCAGTTAAAGGTTAGTTTTCTTTCTAAGGTTCTATTCTTTTTATTAAATTATTCTACAGCCTATTCAAATCCTTTTGCATTGGTAATCACATTATAAACAATTCATCAAGAGTGCCAATCCATGAATTCTATTAGTGTTCGTAACAGATACTAAGTAACAATCGCCTATTTTTTACATGGAAAGTATTAATGCCTGATGTCAAATTCAAATAAGGTGATCGGTTTGCACCAGTGTCAACTCGTATATGCCAGGGCCAGGTGAAGAGTTGGATTATAGATACATAATTCCATATTTATATTTAATTTTAGATCTATGAAGCAAATTAACAGCATCATTAAAAACTACCTTCTTCTTCTACTAGGAAACTGTGAAGGTCTGATGGTGAAAACATTGGATAAGGATGCCACGTATGAGATCGCAAGACGCTCACACAATTGGCTCAAGGTAAGTCCTCTAAACCAGTTAGCATCTCAATTTAATACTACTCGTAAAAACAATTTTTATGCCTCCGTTACGAAGTAGCCGGAGGCATTATGTTTTCGGGTTGTCCGTACGTACGTCCCGTTCTCGTGATCGCATTATCTGAAGAACCGATTGATGGATTCCTGCCAAACTTTGGTCATGTATGTATCTTGCAGAGCCGATGAACTGATTAGATTTTGGGGTCACAAGGTCAAAGGCCAAAGGTCACAGGGCTCATTATGTATGCAAAAACAGCTCGTTATCGCGTTATCTCAAGAACCGATTGATGGATTCCTGCCAAACTTTGGTCGTGTATGTATCTTGCAGAGCCGATGAACTGATTAGATTTTGGGGTCACGAGTTCAAAGGTCACAGGGCTCATTATGTATGCAAAAATAGCCCGTGATCGCGTTATCTCAAGAACCGATTGATGGATTCCTGCCAAACTTAGGTCATGTACATTACTTGCAGAGCCGATGAACTGATTAGATTTTGGGGTCACGAGGTCAAAGGTCATGGGCTCATTATGTATGCAAAAATAGCTTGTGAACGCATTCTCATTAGAACAGATTGATGGATTCCTGCCAAACTTCATTTATGTATCTTGCAGGGCCAATAAACTGAGTAGATTCTTGGTTCATAAGGTCAAAGGTCAAAGGTCATGGGCTCATTATGTATGCAAAAATAGCTTGTGAACGCATTCTCATTAGAACTGACAGATGGATTACTATTTAACTCAGGACATCTTGCAGAGCCAATGAACTGAGTAGATTTTAGGGTCATGAGGTCAAAGATCAAAGGGTCATATATGTATATGAGAAATTGCTTGTAATCACGATATTCTGAGAACCTGTTAATGGATTACAATTGAACTTGAACTTCAAAAAATTCTTCTGTTTTGGTTTGTAAAATTGCTTTATGATGGAGGCATCATTTTCGACTGTGCGCAGTCGAAGTTCCATCTAGTTTAAGTACTAAAATTTATTTTATTTTGCTATCATTTAATTTCTCAACTTGCGTGAAAAATCTGTAAAGAATATTGGGTATTATTTTTATTTATGGGCTTAAGGGGTGTACCTTGGTTTTGAAGTATAAGAAATACTTACACTTCATGCAGATATTTGATCTTGATTGATATGGATACATTGTGATTAACATTAACAGCTGAAGAAAGACTACTTGGATGGTGTTGGAGATACATTGGATGTGGTTGTGCTCGGTGGATTCCAAGGGCGTGGTAAGAGAGTTGGTTCCTATGGAGGATTCCTACTTGCCTGCTATGATGAAGAGAATGAAGAGTTTCAATCTATTTGTAAGGTAAGACCGGACTTCGCATCATAAATTTTTTTGATTCATTTGTAAAAAGTTCAGTCATACAGTTTGATGTTTGTATTGGAAATAAACATTGAAAATTTGACTTGAGAAATACACATTCTGGTGTAAAACAAGATGAACTGCTTATCCACTCATTTGCAAACACAATTTACAATGTCACACTTTAACATTACCAAATTACAGAGAGAGAGGGGTGGGAGACAGAGAGAAAGAGAGAGAGACAGAGAGAGAGATGAGAAACTAGAAAGTGAGAGAAAGATAGAGATGAGGGATGTAAACAGTATGAGAGATAGCTGGATAAATGATCTGATCAGTAGCATTGAAGAAGTTAGATAGAATAGAACATTTATAAAGAATTATATTGACATCATTATTGTTATTTGAGAAAAGTTATGAAGATATGAAATAATACATGTGCAGAGGTGGGCAATGTACTTCTCAGCTCTGTTTGTGTATCCGATAGGGCATACAATGCAAGGTGATTAACCGCAGTTGATCATTGAATCATGTTGGTTTTAATCACAGATTGGAACTGGTTTCAAGGAGGAGGAGCTGGAAAAGCACACCAAGTTTTTCAAGGATCATTTGATTGAGAAGCCACGCCCATATTATAACTATGACAGCAGTGTAGCTCCTGATCATTGGTTTGATGCTGTGCAGGTCTGGGAGATCAAGGCTGCGGATCTATCTGTCTCACCCGTTCATAAAGCAGCCATTGGAATAGTGAGTTCACTTCTCATTCTCATTCTTTGATCCCCTAACACATGCTTCTCTAATAGCTTTAATAGTTGAATTCCTAACTTGAACTATAGACCCAACATTACACCTTTATCCTGAATCTAACATACCAGTAAGGTATTTCCCTCTAAATATAATCATGTACATGTAAATGTTACTTGTTTTACCCTTTTATCTTTCTGTCTTTACCTCTCTTTCGTGCAGTCCATCTCTTTGTTTTTTTATTCAATTTTTTCTTGCTTTCTTTCAACTTTTCTATTTCAATGCATGACACAAATCTATTTGTTTTTATTTTGATTTATCACGTAAGCTATGAAATGTTGAAAGCTTGTATTTGCCTTCATATCATTCTTGAAACATGCCTTATTCAGTCAAAATTATGTTGTGGTAGAGTTGGCACCAACTGGACATGTCACTGTCTATTTCAAGCAGATAACAGCATCTAATTCCTGTGGTTTGTTTCACAAGCTAGTTCTGAAGCTAGTGATTTCTAACTTATAAGAGTAACAGTGTTAGATATGTCACCCTTCTTTTGAGTGCACACCAATAATTCTGATTTTATATCACACAGGTCGATCCAGCCAAGGGTATTTCCCTACGATTTCCCAGATTCATTCGTATCCGTGATGACAAGAAACCAGAGGAGGCCACAGGCTCTTCACAGGTAAAAACAATCTCCCTATTCAATCAGAAATTTAATTTTCCCTTAAGAAAATGTTCAATCATACACGCACCCTGAATATGATTATTGTCAATATGATTCTATACAACCCCTGTATGGAAAAAAATCTGAGAAAATGAAAGTAGATGAAGTTTTATGTACAGAACAAATTGGAGAGGACCTCCCAAGATACGTCACAGAATTGCCAGTTCGTGTTTGATTGATTGCAACTTCAAAAGTTCATAACTTTCTTATTTTTAATAGGAATTTGCTCAAACTTTCACCGAACCTGTTACTCTTCTGCTTCTATTAAAACCAACTTCATATCCGGGTAGACTTCCCCTTTAATGACGTATGAAATGGCAAAAAGTGTTGGGTTGATCCCTACAAAGAATCCCTATCTACCATTTTTGATTGATTACATTACAGGTTGCCAGCATGTATAACAACCAGGATCAAATCAAGAACCAACAAGCAAATAAAACCAGCAAATCAGAAGAGGATTTCTACTAAACACAGACGAGTGGTAACATGACCAGAAGACCAGAAACATTGCTGGTAGCTTGCAGAGAAGGTTTCCAATTTCATCCACTCTCATACCTGTAATCCATTTAATCATTCATAAACGGACTACTGTTAATACAGTCAATGTTATGTAGTCACAAAGGTAATCCTGTCTTATATCACAAAAAAACTTGAAGTAACTATGGTGTACACGTCATTCTACATCAAATTATTGTAAGCATGAACATTAGGTAGCACCACAGAGCCTTAAGTTGATTTAGTACACAGAACTTGAACTTCCTTTAGATCGATTGTTATAACTATGTAGACTAATGATTCAATCAGTATGATATCAATGCAACATTAGCCTTTGAAGGGTTGACAAGAATTCAGAACAATCTTTGTATATTACAGGGTTGTTTGAACCATCAAAATGTGAGCAAATTTTTTATTTTTTATAAACCATTAAAATTGATATCAAATGTCTCAACAAAATCTAAAGACTTTCATGCTTTTGCTGATATTTATTTATACCTTTTAATCTAATGATATCAATGTCATTAGATACTATGTATGATTTATTTGCTCTTCATAACCAATATTCCTGATTATATTAGAAGATTCAACTATTTGAGGAATCTTGTGTATTTGTAGTTATTACTCTTCCAAACATTTTTTCCCCAACTTTTTTCATTCCTCTTTCGTTTTTATTCCATTAATCTATTTTTACTAGTCAATATATTTGTTGATATTTTGGAAAGATTGATAAGTACACAACCATACACCTTCTCAATATATTTCTATTATAAGAATACATGTTACAGTCATGTATTGAAAACATTTTTTTTCCTCCATTTTTGAGCCCTCTCCACTTGTAAATATTCTGAATTTGTAAATAGCATTATAAACTATTACAATCATTGGTAAATAAAGCACTTTGTCAGTATGATTGTGTGCATAGGGGCTTGAGATAGCGCTTGTGTTTGTCTGAAATTGTAAAAAGAAAAATTGAAAAAGCTTTGATGAATCATAATATGATTGTGTATATAAAAGATCAATATAACTTTTGTGTTGTACTTGTGTACATTAAAAGAAGTACAACATACTCTTTTTCAACTACAGTTTCATGAAGCACTTTAGGCCAAGACTATAAACAAAATATGATCACTTATGCTTACCAATGCACTTATTAGTAATACAGCCATGATGTGAATCTCTTAATACTCTCAATGATTACACTTTCATAACATTATGTGAGAAATAAGTTCATTTTATACACAGAATATTTCAATGAATTATACTAAAATGAATGTGTCATTTGATGATGTAATGCATTGGATAGTTATAAGATGATATGGTAACTTTTCTAAGATTTTGGTTAACGGATTATAGCTTGTAAATAAAATGAATGCTTCATCTTCAGACAGTCTTGAATGTTTTGCTCTAGAATTACATTATGACTCGCTAAGTTGCATTGTCTCTGATTTGTAGCAAAATGATAAAGAATTATTCCTGTGAGAGTGTTTTCATTAAATGAAATAAATCCTGCTATGTAGAATTGATATATTTGGATCATTTGTTCTTTCTTCAGAATTGAGAAATACACTGTACCCTTGTCTTGTAGCACAGTACAGTTTGTTTCAAGATCACCTTGGCGGGTAGTTTTAACCATGCCCATCAAAGTCAATATTTGTATAATATATTTTGTTGCATTTTAGATCATTCTATGTATGCAGGATCACAATTCATGGCCTTTTTTTTGGGGGGGGGGGGGTGGTGGGAAAACCAGTTTTAGTATATTGTGCCTTTCTGGTACGATGGTGTCTAGTATTGAGATGTGACATGAGGAGGGAAACGTTTAGGGTCTTAATGAATTTTTTGTTCATCTTTTCAAATTTAAAACCAATTTTGTTGAAATGAAATTAAGTCTGGCAAGCAAGTTTTGTTGTAGACCCATTGTATGCAGCAGTTTGAAATCTAGATTTAATTGGATAAGGATACTTTATGATCTAAACCAAATTCTAGCCATTCAGAATATATTAATTTATGTCAATATGATACATAGAAAATGTCACATCTTTAATTGAATAAATGCTGTAATCAACATTTTCTCAAAGACAAGAATGATTTGCTACTGTTTAAATGCTTACTAGGCTTTTAAAAAGAAAGAAAGAAATCTTGAACAGAAGGTTACTTGCCAAAATAATTCCTAGCTGTTACAGTTATTATGTACATATTATTGGTGCACATGTGCATATGATTTGCATAAATGATTCAATTATTGTAAGTTCAAGAAATGTTAAAAACCTTGTACTTATTTGTCAAATTTCAGAATTTCGTGGTCAGACACCTTTTGGGTGAATTCTGAAAGTACTATTGTGTTGATGTGATTTTAATGTGATTATGATGATGGTGATAATTGTATAATGTGATAATGCTGTTGATGATAATGTACCTGTCATTGTGATGTTGATGGTGATGGTGTTGATAATGACGATAATGATGATGATGTTGATGGTAATTATGTCATTTTGATGATGATTTTATTAATGGATATAAAAGAGCACAGCTGGCCCAGAAAAAAGAGAAAGACGGAAATTGATTATAAAAAGAAAGGCGTTAGTGATTATAGTCATTTCTTGACTGATTGTCATTACAATAAAAAACAAGAACAACAACAATGACATCCCCCCCCCCCCCCTCATCTAGTGCTCATCATTTTCGACCAAAAAGGCACCTGGAAATGAAACGTTTTTTGCTTGTCACAATTTCTATTTAACTATGTATTCCTCTTACGAATATACATCTTTCCACTGATATTTATGGTGGTACTGTTAAAATAGATATTTATAGGATGCCTATAGTACAACATTACGAACATCAATTACATATCCGTTACAACCACCATCATCATCACATCAATACTTAACATTCAATAGTACCGTTCAGATTTAACAATAAAGACAATATCATAATGGTAAACTTGGTTAATGGTAAGGTTATACTTGTCAATAAAACGCAGCTATGAGGAGTATTTAATCAAAGAATGTTTTCCTTAATCCGCTCTCCACCTCTTTCATCTCCATTCTCTGAACTCTCACCCTCTTGTCTCTATTCTTTTCTCCCAACTTGCTCCCGCACTTCATTTTCTACCCTTGACTCTCCTTTTATTATCCTCTCTCTCTCTCTCCCTCCCTCCCCCATCCCATCTTCCCTCCTCTCTCCCTCTCTCCCCTCCCCCTCTCTCCACTATCTCTCTCTCCCTCTCTCCCCTCTCTCTCTCCCTCTATCTCCCTCTCTCCCCTCTCCCTCTCTTCCCCTCTCTTTCCCTCTCTCCCCCTCTCTCTCTCCCTCCATTCTTCCCCTCTCTTCCCCCTCTCTTTCCCTCTCTTCCCTCTTCCTATCTATCCGCTCTCGTGTTTCTCCATCGCAATCGTCACTGCGGCGACGATGATGTAAATCCCTCAGCATTCTCAGAAAGAGAAAAATCAGCTGACTTCATTGACGTCACCACTCATTAAAATCACTTCTCTCCGACTTTAAGAACGTCTTTCTTGTAATTGAAAAGGGAAAATTAAATTACAAATTCAAAGTGGCTTTGTTCCCTGAAATCTCTTTAAAATACTGACATTTATAGTTACCATTCTCCTCTCCATTACTTCATTTTCTGTCACTGCTTAATTCTTTGTTGTTTTCTTTCTCGTACTTTATTCAAATGTATTATTTTATTTTTCCATTCTCTCTCTATTTCAACTGTTTTTGTTTCGCTTCGTTTTATAAGGTTCCTATCCCCAGATTGGAAATATACCCTTTTGAGTTACAAAAAACTTTATTTTGAACATTTCTGTCCACCAATAGTGCGGCTATTTTTAAATCAAATATTAGCCTAATCTCAGACTTAGCCGAACCCCCCCCCCCCCCTCACCCCCTCCACGGCGTAAGTTATATTCAGTCTTCATATTCCAATCAAAAGTGGTGAAATATCCTAATGATAAAAGAAAAAAAAAGGGGGGGGGGTGCGTTGAGAAAACATGCAAGTAACTCAGCTTAACCGATCATTGAACTCCCATTTGTCTGTTAAGTGATCATGTCCAAATCATTGGTAGCTATTTTGAGCATTCCCAGCGGTTTAACCTAAGCTTGAATTAAAACCAAATCAGAATTACTGCATCCTGTTATAATAGCATGGGAAATCAGAGACATCCTCATCACACTCTAATTTGCTTCACTCCAAAAACTTAGTTCTTATAAAGTATATTGGTGTCTGTACAAATCATGCCAATGTCTACTGTTGTAAACCAAATATTTCAACTAAATTCTTAAAGCAACTTTAACATTTCACGAATCTACACTTTTCTTCGCCTCAAATAGGTCACTCCCCTCATCCCTTTCTCCCCTATCTCTACCACCATCTCATAATCTTTTACCCCCTCTCTCTTTCTCTCTCCTTCTCTCTCTCCCTCTCTATCTCTCTCCCCTTCACCCTCCGGCCCCCTCTCTCTTTCTCCCCCCTCTCTCTCTCTCTCCTCTCTCTCTCTCTCTCTCTCTCTCTCTCTCTCTCTCTCTCTCTCTCTCTCTCTCTCTCATTTACTCCTCGCTCTCAATCTTAGTCATTTGGCGAAATAAAAAAAACGTTTTCCATCTTTGCCTTATATATAAAAATACAGGCATACGCTATAATTATGCTTATGCGTTTTTTTAATGTTCAAACGACATTAAATTTTTTTTCTTCTAATGAAGGGACATAGATAAGTTGTAATGACATTTGATATGGACTGCAATATGACGTGCAAATAAAGACCTCATAGAGAATATCTGAACTTTAAAGAGTGCCATGTCTATGCTTTCAACGAAGGAAGCTTGATATTGATATGAGCGCCATCATGGGGTACGAATGAGCCAACGTATTGAGGCTCACATAAAATCACGGAACAAGATCTAGGACCGTTTATCTCAGTTGATATCAAATGTAAAAAAAGTCTATGAAGAAAATATAAAGCCAAATAATCCAAGGGGGATTTTAAAACAAAATATGGCACAGTATTTTAAGTTTGGAAGTTTCCAGAGTTTCTGTGAAACCGTACCCAACTTATGTGTTCGTGGGTGTATTAAGTAGTATGTGAAACATTGAAGTTCAGCTATCAATATAAATGTGTACAATCATAATTATCTCTACGTGTAGGTCTACATCATGCTAATCTAGTGCATGGGAACAGTGATATAGCTCACAACAAATACTTTAAACGCACATTTAAATAAGATGTTAGTACTATATATTTCATATTTTTCATACCAGACTCTGTTCCTATCATACACATCACCATATTAATAACTTGACTAAGTAATCGTAAGTAAATTAACAAATATATGATTTACTTCTGCATTACTTTCTGACTTACTTCCATTCATATTCACCCAGCATGTTGTACTCCTGATACCACGCGTCTCGATCTAAACTTCTCTTTGCGGCACCGGGGTCGAACTGATTGCTTTCTCCATCTTTCACAACTCACATGCATGCTCTTATTTCCTCATCTAATTATTGCGACCTACCTGTGCTATAGCAGTGGAGGAGTGTTTTAATATTTTCTTGGCTAGCAATAATGCAAATTGACATTCATTTAACACGAAACAGGTATGACGACGTCCACCCCTGTCATGCCTGTATTTTAAGATTAAATTGAATTCTTCACAACTTTGTATGCAAGACACCTGTCATCATTCAAGCCTGCAAATATATTCCTATACTTTATTAGTCTCTTGTCCTCTAAGTAAAATATTTTAAAACGTCATTAAAATGTTTGTTAAAAGTCAAAGTCTACCGTATTTACGATGTTGGTCTACATTGTGTATTTGAATATTTATATTCACAATATTTAGTTTTCATAGTAGATAATAGAATCCATAGGGCTACTGGTAAATGCAGGACATAATCTTCTGGCAAGGAAAGCAAAAACCTATACAACAAACCGTTTTTAGCTAGGTCAATTTCTCCTCAGTTATATCTTCGTTAGTAGGATAATGTTATTAAGACTAGAAATTAAAATGCGAGCTAAATTTGAACGGTTCTATGATTTCATTGATATTACATCGACAGAATAAGGGGCATAGCTGCTAAAACTTAGAATACGAGAGAGCGAATCGACCAAGCGCTTGGTGTTCAATAAGACTATACTGGTAGGACATAAACTTTGAGCAACCAGAATGAGAAAGGGCTTTTTACGTGCTATGTTTTTAATAAACACAATGAATTTCATTAACCATCACCCCTACAGCCTTCTTCTTCTCCCCAGACTATGAATGAATGAGAGTGTAGAATGACTAGACAGTCTGAGATTGACTTGATACTACACCTGAGATAGTTACAGTCTTGTGAACGGTCCGATGAGTCATTCTCCTCCAGGAATCTAGTTTACAATCTTCCCTTCCTATCGTTATTTATAGAATGAAGATGAGAGGAATGTACTACATTTAGGGCCTGTATCGATGCTCACATTATTCACTGAATCATTCCAATGATGAAGCTTTTATCGATACATGCCAGTATTATTATTACTGAGTATTGTATTTCAAATCGCATCCATGTTAGCTTGTCACGAATAGTACCCATAAGTATGAATATAATAATCACATTTTAACCACCACCTCGTTCTCTCTTTCTTTCTCCCTTTTTCCTCTTTCTCTCTCTCTCTCTCTCTCTCTCTCTCTCTCTCTCTCTCTCTCTCTCTCTCTTTCCCCCTCATGCTCCTTCCACCCTTTTTTATTCTGATAAATTATGTTCTATTTGTCACATTTTCCATCCAAGAGTGCTTTAATTTTCTTTATTAAAAAGAACAAAACTACTCTCAATGACAATGGTAACTCAGGGTAGAGGTGAAGGAAGGGTAGAGGTGAAGGAAGGGTAGAGGTGAAGGAAGGGTAGGTGAAGGAAGGGTAGAGGTGAAGGAAGGGTAGGTGAAGGAAGGGTAGAGGTGAAGGAAGGGTAGAGGTGAAGGAAGGGTAGAGGTGAAGGAAGGGTAGAGGTGAAGGAAGGGTAGGTGAAGGAAGGGTAGGTGAAGGAAGGGTAGGTGAAGGAAGGGTAGGTGAAGGAAGGGTAGAGGTGAAGGAAGGGTAGGTGAAGGAAGGGTAGAGGTGAAGGAAGGGTAGAGGTGAAGGAAGGGTAGAGGTGAAGGAAGGGTAGAGGTGAAGGAAGGGTAGAGGTGAAGGAAGGGTAGAGGTGAAGGAAGGGTAGGTGAAGGAAGGGTAGAGGTGAAGGAAGGGTAGGTGAAGGAAGGGTAGAGGTGAAGGAAGGGTAGAGGTGAAGGAAGGGTAGAGGTGAAGGAAGGGTAGAGGTGAAGGAAGGGTAGAGGTGAAGGAAGGGTAGAGGTGAAGGAAGGGTAGGTGAAGGAAGGGTAGGTGAAGGAAGGGTAGGTGAAGGAAGGGTAGGTGAAGGAAGGGTAGAGGTGAAGGAAGGGTAGGTGAAGGAAGGGTAGAGGTGAAGGAAGGGTAGAGGTGAAGGAAGGGTAGAGGTGAAGGAAGGGTAGAGGTGAAGGAAGGGTAGAGGTGAAGGAAGGGTAGAGGTGAAGGAAGGGTAGGTGAAGGAAGGGTAGAGGTGAAGGAAGGGTAGGTGAAGGAAGGGTAGAGGTGAAGGAAGGGTAGAGGTGAAGGAAGGGTAGAGGTGAAGGAAGGGTAGAGGTGAAGGAAGGGTAGAGGTGAAGGAAGGGTAGAGGTGAAGGAAGGGTAGGTGAAGGAAGGGTAGGTGAAGGAAGGGTAGAGGTGAAGGAAGGGTAGAGGTGAAGGAAGGGTAGAGGTGAAGGAAGGGTAGAGGTGAAGGAAGGGTAGAGGTGAAGGAAGGGTAGAGGTGAAGGAAGGGTAGAGGTGAAGGAAGGGTAGAGGTGAAGGAAGGGTAGAGGTGAAGGAAGGGTAGAGGTGAAGGAAGGGTAGGTGAAGGAAGGGTAGGTGAAGGAAGGGTAGAGGTGAAGGAAGGGTAGAGGTGAAGGAAGGGAAAAGGAAGAACGGGTAAAGAAGTTGGAGACGTAATGGAACAAAGCACATGGTAGCGACTGAGCTGTACAAAAGTTGCTGTGTGACTATAAAATGGCAAGACTGCAAGCGAAGAGCACAAAGTATTCCTATGGAATAATACTAGTATACTAGTAGTGGTAACGGAGTTATGAATAAAAGCCAAGGCTCTGTCCAGGCCAGCAGGTAACAAGAACAATAACAGTTTTCTAATGATCTGATTTGTGTGTGATTAATCATAAAGGATTATTGGGTTTTTTTTATAGTTGGGGATGAGGGGGTGGGGGGGGGGGGGGGCATCGAGCGAAAAGAGTTTCCATTTATTAATAGTGACAACCTGGGAGCCTAAACAACGTGTAGCAATCTTCTTATTACCATTAACATTGCTGAGGAAACTTGTCTCTTTCCAGAAGAAAGATCCCCTGAAAAAAAAAAAGATCGCCGCCCTCGGGGTGAAAGAGCACATTGGGAGGCACGAAAACATGGTTATAATCATCTCTCTCTCTCTCTCTCTCCCTCTCTCTCTCTCTCTCTCTCTCTCTCTCTCTCTCTTTCTCTCTCTCTCTCTCTCTCTGTCACTTTCTCTCTCTCTCTCTCTCTCTCACACACACACACACACACACACACACACAATCTCTCTCTCTCTCTCTCTCTCTTTCTCTCTCTCTTTACTCTTTCTTTCCTTGGGAGAGGGAGAGAAAGAGAGTAAAGCCTCTCATCTCTCATTCTCCTCGCCGTTCTCCATGTGGTCTTATATCTTGATATCTTGACAAAAATATATTAAGAATGTTATAGTTATATTTGATATACAGGGTGTATCATAATAAAGGATATTGAAGTTTAATGACGATTTATATGAAAACTACTGATTTCATAATCAAGCACTTATGTCTGTTGTAAAGGACAGAATGTCCTCTTTTTAATGACACCCCAATCATACTTCTACTGTCACAGTTGACTGAATAACAAAGCATTGCTGTCCACCATGTCAAAGGTGCACTGTGACAAGTTAGCATTCAAAGATTAGTGCTTGTGTCAGCCCAGACATATTGAAATGCTGAACAATGAGTGGATTATGTCTCTAAGAAGGAAATGTTATCAAACTTGGCACAGTGCACCTTTCACATGGTGGACAACAATGCTTTGTTATTCAGTCAACTGTGACAGTAGAAGTATGATTGGGGTGTCATTAAAAAGAGGACATTCTGTCCTTTACAACAGACATAAGTGCTTGATTATGAAATCAGTAGTTTTCATATAAATCGTCATTAAACTTCAATATCCTTTATTATGATACACCCTGTATATCTTTTTAATAAATATCTAGGCCTACTGAAAGAAAAAAGATGAAAACGAAAATATATCTTCTTTTCGTGATAAAAACTGAGATTTATTAGTCCATGCTATTATATCGTATCTCTCAGTGGCGCCCCCTCTCTCTCTCTCCCTCCTACTCCCAGCTCTTAATTACACCAATAGTGTCTACCTATATTTTTTTTCTAAGCGTTGCTATTATTTCCCTTTACCGTTTTACTTTTAATATATTATTTTTTGTCAACATACTGCTTTCCCTCTCTTTCTCTCCTTCTGCTCACGCCGAAGCCTCTGTTTCTACAATCTCGTAATCCCTTTACGTCTATCTACGTCACATACAACGTCCGCTTTCTCTATCCATTATTCAACAAGGAGCAACCCACAACTCTCTATTTTTAAAGGAACAATCGGGCCTTCGTGATACAAAAATAAAATCATCCTATTTTAATCTACGGAAATGTTTGGCGCTAATATCGTAGGTTAATTATGGGTTTCACTCAATTTAGAGAGAAAAGGTCTCTGGAAATTATTTAGAACGAAGATGAAGATATAGAAACCCTCTGATACTCTTACTAAGATGAATCATTGAATATCTAACAAGAGTATGTGATTATCTCCTGCCATCATGATAAGTAATGGCTTTTTCAGTCTGTGATTTTGAAAAGAGATTTTAGTACTATGCTTTTAGTTTGTTTATTGGATTAGGACTGATTGGTAATAACAATCTACTGTTATTCACATTTCTATCTTATTCTACCGCAGAATGAAATGCAACTGTCCAGCATTTATAATTTCGCCCTTCCAGCATTCAACAAAAGTATGAAAAGTTGAAATCTTAAAATCTCTTTAAAACCTAAAAGAGATATAAGGGGGGAGGGGGTGGTAACGTTAATACCTCGTTTAGTTATAGCACCATTATATTTAGCGAAAATAACAAAAATAACAATACATTTTGCAGAGGCAAGCAGTAGGAAATCTGTAAGAAGTGAGTTGTGAAGCAAAGAAATGTTCCTCTACATTATATTCCGTTATCCATCATATACAATGGTCATTTATGCAGTCTCCGGGTCTGATACCTACTACGTCATATATTGACGTCTGTAATAAATTACCATATATAATGATCCAGTGCACGTGTGAAGAAAGGTCGCGGAAGCTCTCTCCTCGCTTGTCTCTATCTTCTCTCTCTCTCTCTCTCTCTCTCTCTCTCTCTCTCTCTCTCTCTCTCTCTCTCTCTCTCTCCCCCCTCTCTCTCTCTCACCAACCCTCCCTAGCTCTAACCATCACGACTTGTGTTTGATTTAGTAAATTCAACGGATGAGAATGTAGAAAATAATACATACACAGACTTACACGCACACGCACACATACGCACGCACACGCACACTCCAGCCCACCCAAAGTAAAAACACTATATATAGACACATTTTATTAATGAAACATAATCCCACCTTACCCCCTTTATATCTCTCCATCTCTCCCTCTCACAAACCTCCTACTAAACTCTATATTATAATGATGATAACGATAATAATAATAATGGATATAACGCACCACGCAAGGTGCTCAAGTTTGCTCTAATATTACTCTGACTCTGGTAGGCTACCGATTTCGGTGCCAACAGCATTCAAGGAATTCCTTCCTACCGGCACCCATTTAACACCTGGGTGGAGAGTGGCAAATCTAGATGAATATATTGCCAAAGGATATCAGTGCCGCGGTGGGACTCGAACCGCAAGCCCTGTGATCCACAGTCCAACGACGTATCCACTAGACTCTCTTTTCTCTATATCCTTGTCCCCTCCTCACATCTCCGCGTCTCTCCTCTCTCACACACACACTTCCTACCCCCCCCCCACACCTCCTCTATCTCACTTTTGCTATGTCTTTCTCTTTTTTTTTCTTTTTTTTTCTCTCCAATTTAAGACAAATATCGATCATATCGAGAAATACGTATCTAAAGAACATCTTGTCATTGTTTTCAGCACCTATTACTTATACAAGAAAATAAATAGTCGACTGCATTTGTTTTTGTTATGCTCTGAAAGTATATTTAATATAAACTTACAAATTTGATCATAATATAATCATGGCTGAACGGATAGACGCACCATCCAATCCTTGAAAAATAAGTACATGTTGTATTGCACAGTCCGTAACAAACAAGAATTCACCTTAAAGCTCGTCTACACTGTCATAAAGTAAACCCGACACCTTCTTGTCTCATTCGCTACCATCAAATAGTTGTGCGAATATTCTTGGTATACCAAGGTCAATAGTCACATCCGTTAGAAGAGGCTTGTCACTTATATATTTTATATAAAAAAGTCGGTTGTGATTAGTACTATATTATACCATTTGAAGTAAAATTTGAAGAATTTGAGGAGGAATAGCTCCGTTCTGAAAATATCAACTGGTGAGAGATGTTTTGCCAGGAATGGGATTCTAGTGAACGTAGATGGCGACAATTAATAACAAGGTGAGATTCAAGGCAAAATATGCACGTTCCTTCTTCGAAAGAAAAATATATATATCATCAATTTCACACAAAATTTACACAGATGTCATAAATAATTCTAATTTCTTTAGTAATTAAAGCCTTAGACCCAGAACCGCTCTTTACGAAAGGACTATACATAAACTTTCAAATCGGTCAATATTTAAAAGTTAAAACAAGCGAAAAAATATATATGTACAAATTGCGTAAGAAAATATATCCCACTGGACTAAAAAATGTCACAGGGATTGAAATTATATAAAATCTTGTCTAGATGAATTGATTTTCAAGTACGTCAGTGTACATGGTGACAAACACGCCACCAAGTAATTAATCACGTGACATGATTTGCATATCACACAAGCTACACACAGAATACTATTGGAATTTGACATGCACAATACACATGTGCGTGTGTTTGTGTGTTTGTGTATGTGCGTGCGTTATGTGTATTTACTATCCTACATCTACACATAGCAGCGGCGGTTGGCTCAAGTGCACGGTCGCCTTTGGTTACTGCTTCGTCATAAAACACTGGCCAAAATCCAATAAGAAACTGTACAATTCTTGTGTTGTAGATTAAAATTACGAGTACAAAATTACTATTTCAATACTTGATACGGTATGTATAATTTATGAGGTACAGCTGAAGCTCACCTTGAATAATCATGATATATGTCAGTCGTACTATGTACAAAATATGCCACGCGGGACCTGAGTACAGGGTATGCCAAGAAAGAGACAAAATATATTGACATACTCTGTACCTTCCCTGTTATAATGACATATTTTCGACATTAAATGAAGTGATTGACGAATGAAAGCTATTAGGCCGTCGAAATACAATCTCGCATTTTATGTACAACAATCAGAGAAAAGGGAAAAGAGGAAAGAGAAAGGAAAAGATGAGAGAAAGAGAATAATTATGAGAGAGAAATATGGTAGCATTACACAATCATAAACCACATAACAATACGCAGTACTTAAAGCCTTCCATTTTATGTCCATTTGTAAAAAAAATAGAGGATTACCGGCCTCCATTGTAATATCAAAATAGTATGCGCTATATAGTATAGAATAGTAAAATCGTGTAAATAGTATTTGAATTCTTAAACAACAGTAACAATTCATGAAAAAATAGTTCGGCTATAAAGCTGCGGAGTGCAACAATGAAACGTGTTGCACTTTGCAATTCAAAAAAACGGAAGTACTTCTTGAGTTTTTAACACAGCACGTTAAGAGTGCGAATGAGGCTATATTTCAGCGATATGAAAACGGTCGCATTGTTGATGTTAAGAGCCCACAGTTCTTGAGCTAGTTGGCCGCAATCATTGAGGGTTGTTGATTATACTGGTCAGCTGGACTTGTAGTAGGTAGACCCCATCCCTCAGGTAGAAACCAACTCTCTGTAGTATGTGATGTAGGAGAAGCATGTGTTGTCTGGATACCGGCTCCAGGAGTACCACTGGCATCACTCCATGGTGTTGTGTACTGGTTCTGCATTGAAGGAACGAACTCTCGAGCATTAGGTGAGAGCTGCTGCGGTGAACGTTGACTGCTGCGGTAGTTCTTCATAGCTGATCGCTGTTTCATGTAGTTTGCAAACTCTGTCGGGGATAGCTGCTGGAAGTTGACTCGTTTACCCGAATTCTTGGGTTTGGTTGAACCGAATTTGGTCTGAGCAAATGAGGCTGCAGTAAAGGTGAGTGCGTTTGGTCGGACGAGAGTGGTTGCACCACTTGTAGATGTGGAGCTACTGGACGATCTACCACCAGGACTACCCGGAGCTACAGGACTGGTAGTACCACTTGTAGACGGGACGGACGGTGCGGCATTGATGTGAAATCCTTGCAGGGATGAACCCAAAGAATCAACCAATGAGAATGGAGCTTCAGGTTCAGCACCCTCTTCGACGACTGTCTCCTGTTTGTAGATGACGGTGACCACGCCCTTCTCTGTGATTCGATAACTCACTTCACCAGGGTCCATCCACATTGTTAGTTCTTGAGGAAGGTTCTCTACCACCTCATCCACGTCTAAACCACTCTGTATAATGGCAGACTCGACAGCTGGATCCACCTTGAGACGGTTGATTCGGATACACCTGTAGCCTGATCCTTTATTGGGTTGACCAGGATACCAGTGACCGCCAAACTTGAGGTAGAGGGCTTTCTCTATCTCCTCAGCCAGGACGTTGACCCTTCGACGAGGCAGTTTGTTGTATAGATGGCTTCGGAGGAAGTCTACAGCGCACTGTACTTCTGATTTCATGCTCTGAGTTGATGCCATCTTTCTGTGAAATATACGAAAATATCATTCTTGTTAAGAGAGATGAACAAAAACACAGATACTTTTATGAGGGCTTTATTCAAACAGTGTGTGCGCCATTGCATAGATAGATGCAAACAAATTTGAAATAAAAAAATAATTTATTGGATACTTATTTTCATTTTGTCACACCGAAGTCTTTCTACAGTACAACATCTACCTCTAAACTCACACATTCCTCACATACGCACACCCACACACTCATCCACTATCCACACTGACTCCCCCCCTCTCTCTCTCTATCCCACACACACACACACACACTCACACGCACACACACACACAAACGCTCATCCACACTGACTATTAACCCCCTCTCACTCTTTCCCACATATACACACGCCCACCCACACACTCATCCACACCGACTCTTAACCCCAATTTCACTCTCTCCCACACACACACCCACACACCATGCTTCTCATTGTACAATATTACAAGATATAAGTATAATCATACTTTAAAATGGTTGTTTACTGTTTTGACGTCCATTCGGATTAATTTTCTATGCCCAATTTCATTGTGATAATACATGTCAAAAGACTATTAGAGGATTGTGAATAAACGGACATCTATATAGTAATATATATATATACAAACCATGCATCAAGCATGAGCATTACAATACCCTTATAAGTCAGAAATTCTGGTCGAAAATACAGCTGTTAAGTACAAACACATCCGGATCTGATTCGAGAATCGATATTTTGTGCAAATTCCCCTTCCTGAAATCTATCCCATGCAAAACCCGCCAACCAACTTGCGAATTCGTGACAGCGAAATGATAATTCACCATATGTTGTATTTCCATTGATTCTTTTCACCTCACTTGCACACATTCTGCCAATCGATTTTTGTTTCCCCTTGAAATACATTGACAATGAACGAACCAGTTCTGCAAACTTCTCTTTCCTTTAATCCCCAAAACACTGACAAAAATTACAATATGGTCGTGTATATTACAACGGTCATTATTAAATGTTTATTAATATGCCCTATTAAAATGTCATAATTAGCGATATTTCTTCTTTTTGTTTCATTCATTCTGCTTTTCACACAATGTCAGTTCTTAGTTATAAAAAGTCACCGGCCGGATACAAATAATTTATAACTCGAACTGCTATCGAAGCACAAGATACATAATAGTTCCAAATGAAGAATCGTATGCATTTCACAAATTGCAGTTTAGATGTAATAGCAGTATAATGATGGAAGAAAAATACAAATCGCAGTTTAACTGACATTCACAGCAAGCCACGACGGAAAATCACTTTAACCCAAACTATATCTATGACGTCAGTCCGTATGGGAAATAGCGTCCGGGGATCAAATAGTGTCCCTCTTCAACTCTCTCTCGCTCACTCTCCGTCTTTATTCACAAGCCAGACGGTATGAGTGTTTCCTATTTGCTCTAGGATGTAAAACCTTCAAGCTACGCGACGCTGGCTGGCTTGACGCAAGTGAGAGCTATATTTGGTGCATATTTCTCTTGGCTAAATCATTAGAAGCGTAACATGATTCACTCGCAGCTCGCAGGATACACATTTCAACTTGGAATGGGCAACGACAAACGAGTATCGCAATTCGTCATTTATCATCATATCTACTTTAGCTAGGTATACCGTGTTTTTATACTATCAATGATCTGCCTATTATGCGTATCTTTTCATAATAACAACAAATCTATTATTTCCAGCTTCAAACTTAATACCTCTACTTAAGACGAAGGTTTTTTTTTATCAAATTATGATTATAGAAAATATCACAAAAGCAATCAAAATGAGCCGAAACAAAAGAGAACAATTTATGCACTGATCTAAATTTCTTAATACAAAATTTAATCTGATTTTACATTTTCTTCTCATCAACTCTTTATGGACACGTGAATTATATCTTTAGCGTTAAGAAAAGGTTTTTAAAATCTTGTAGTTTACCCTAAGACAAATAATCAGCTCTAATTAATTGGTCTGTTGATGAAATACTCGCTCCCATTCTCTTCTCTTTTCCAAAAGCAGATAGTGTAGTTTGTTTCCACTCTAATAGCCCAATCATGAGAAAATGATTTTCATCAGTGCTGTAATGTTGGTTTGGCTTGTTTAAAAAAAAAACCGTTTGCCCTGGTGCCCTCCTTGTTTTTTCTCCTCTACCTCGTCTATCTTCTGCTATGGCGCTTTATTTCTTTCTATCTCCCTCCCTTTCTCCCCCTTTTCTCCCCGTCCATCTTTTCTTATGTCTTTTTCTCTCCCGAATACCTTCCAGTTTCTCTCTATCTCTTTCTCCCTCCCGGCGTCCACCTTACTGCACCCCTCAACCTACTCTCTCTTTCTCTCTCTCCTCTTCCGCCCCCATCCCCTCTCTCTCTCTCCCTCTTTCTCTCTCTCCTCTTCCGCCCCATCCCCCTCTCTCTCTCTCTCTCTCTCTCTCTCTCTCTCACCCTCTCTGTCTCTCCTTCTCCCTCCCGCCGTACGCTTTCCGCCCTCTTTTTTTCTCTATGCAGTCCACCTTCCACTAGCCATTCCACCCCCCATCTACCTTTCCCTAGATTTCTCTCTCTCTCTCTCTCTCTCTGGTTGCGCGAGACCCTGTCCAGTAAACACACTTTCCGGGAAGCCATGTCTATAAGCGGACATCCCTCCCTCCCTCCCTTGCATGGCCCTACGACTCACGTCATTAATTCATTAGCATCACTTATCCCTAGACCTTTCTTCATATCCGGCCTCTACCTTCCGCCACCATACAGCTACGTGTTAACCTCTCAGTACATGCATCTACTAGTGATGGTATGTCTACTCAAGAATATCTCTACACCCATCCATCCATCATAACATATTACCTATGTCCCTTTGATAATGAGAAGCTCATTTTCATAGAAGATTCTATACCTTACTTTTTTTTTCTCTCTCGGCAATTTCACCAAGTAACGTCAATAGCATCATCAAAATAACACACATGTACAATAATTTTCAACGCTAGAGCATGCACTATTGTATGATCACCTGTCCTTTCGTCAATTTAGAACGGAGAGAACAAACAGTTTATCCTATATACGGATCAGATAATGCTTCACTGCATTACAGAAATGTTCAACATGAAGTATAGCGAGTGCCATAATGAATCTATAGTCCAATGTGTTGTGTTTGGAAACGATTTACCTCCTACTAAACGCCATTCAATATTCCGTCTTTATCGCGAAATGTCCGTATGGATGGTGTTGATTGGAGCTTTAACCCCCTCCCACCCCCACCTCACACGGTGACTCACCACCTTTCCATGCTTAACATTCTTTACCAGCTTTATAGGAGAACCATCCCAATAAAAGCTTGTCTAGCTTCCAACCCGCATAGCAAATCCAAAGGAATATTGATTATAATCAAGTGATTCACACCTAGACGTTAAACAATAAATTTCCAAACATCATGTTTAGAATTATGAGAATGCACCAATGTGCCCTAACAAGTTGCACTCAGATAGTGAATTCAACTAAGAAGAGTGAGCTCCTTGAATGTTAATGTAAGGAGGATGGTTCTGGTAGCCAGGTACCTAGCTCACACCCACCGCATCCATCAGAGTCAATGAAACATTCCTCTATACTACCCTAACACAACGCCAGTCAAACCATACATCCAACATACCACACATACTACATCAACATTCAATTCAAACTCATCATATCTACCATATTTATAAAGTGAACCATTTATATCAATTTTAGTCACGATCAGCGTCAAATGTATCTTAGAGATTTGTGGAGCACAATCTCAGAACAAACAAAATAAACAAGTCGCAAATCTTCAAAATATTTCTTTAAAAATATTGAAAAACATCGATTTTAAATCAGTAAAAGTCAATCTAATCACCCTTTGATTGGCATGATTAGGTTTCAAGACCTCATTCGTTTACATTTTGCACGTGATTTATTCTTTTCCTGTTGTTTTCAATATTGAAAAAATAACCTGCGTAATTTCATCTGTCATTACAGGAAAATCTGAAAGAAACATTTTTCCCTGATTAACATAAATCAGTTTTGATTACAATACTATTTACCATTAATCGTGACAAAATAATGCATGATTATATATACGAAAACACTGAAGGAAAAACAACATCTTGATCTTCATCAGGTAATGTACTCACCTTAAATAATAATAAAAGTGATATTTTATCCACAAGTAGAAAGCAGTACTTGGCCAAAGACGTGAACTGTTCCAGACAGATGGTTAGTAATGTACCGCATGCAGAGCAAAACACTTTCTCTGTGTATACATCGGTTTCACAATTGTTTCCAATGTGTGCTTGCAAATTGAGATTGAAAAATAAACGTGGTTTTGGAGAGTGGAAGAGTTGATAGTCTGTATGTGTTAGCGGCCCGCGCTTAACAATCTATACTGTACATACGATGTTGACGTCGCTCTTTATATCGCCACGGACGCACACGAGCGCACACCATAATACTCAACCCACACACACACACGCACCCTTACATCCCACACAATGCACACTCGCTATGAAATGTAGGTCTGCATGTCATTTCGGCGTCTACAAATTCCGCTCATATTTTATCCGAATATCCTCTCAAATCTCCTTTTGCAACCTCTTATGAGAGGGTAAACAATCTTATGATATTGATCATTAGCTTATTTCCATTTCTGTATCAGCAAAATGATAAATAGATGAACAATAAAAGCTGTTGTGTGGACATGTATCATGTTATTATCTGTAATGTCGTTTTGTAAAAATACGTGTTAATGAACAGAATGCTACGCAATGATGGATTGCACACAATTCTCTTTATGATAATTATAAACACCGAGTAAATGCTCATTGATGATGATGTTGATGATGATGTTGATGATGATGTTGATGATGATGTTGATGGTGATGATGACAATCATAATAATGATTACAAATGCAATATTGAATGAATATTTTGTATAAGAGCGATGATAATTCCAGCGTGTTACCACGTGTCATCTGAGAGACTGAGACGTATGCCTAGATATCATCATTGTGGATTAACTGATAGCACACCAGATAACTAACTATCAACAGATACTGTCTTTCCCATAGCTTATCATCATAAAGGTTTTTGTCAGTGCATGACAACACAGACAGTGTGGGCTCTCATCCGATATCATTCCAACTGCATACTCCTCAGTATAAATATCATACACTACTTTTAACCGCTTTGTTAATGTTAACGCTATTTTGAACAATTTACTAAACAACTATCAGACTAAGATATTACAGGCCGATTGGGAATAAAATTTTCATCCAGCCCTATTCATTTTCATGTCGTTTAAATTGGTTAGACGTGTTATATAATAATTTGCCTACATAAATTAGATATTTTATATTTAATTGTATACACATATACACAGATACCTAATTATCTATGACCCTAAATCCCCGATTTAAATTCATTCACAGATTATCAAGCAGGACCCAGAATCATAGATATCTACCTGAACCGATAATAAACACACAATACTGAAAATACTAATTCTTTGGACCATCTACAAGTTAATATGTGATAGGTTGTTTGATTAAACTCAAAGTAATTAGAATTATAAGCTATTAAGCGGTGAAAACAAGTTCCATGTTAATCCATGCCAATCTTTATGCTGGTGTGACATACAGTTCCCACGACGGATAAGATACTATCACTAGAGATAGACCATCTATGTCACTGAATTCGGAACATGGCTCCACTATATAGATATTATTTTTGTCAAATTCCATATTTATTATCACATTTAACATTTGTAAATATTTGAATGTTAAGCTTGTAAGTTTTATTTGTACTATTTATTAATATGCCTGACATATTCACGGGTGTTGCAATTTCACTTATGTTATTGTTGGCAAAACTAGCATCAGTGCTCAGTTACATCTCTGGTACAAATCAAACAATCACCCCACAGGTCCACACACACAAAAAACATACACACGCACACACACACGCACTCACACAAAACGCACGCGATATAGGTTTGAAACGCAAGTGGTTGTCAGTTCGTGAATACCAACTTCCTATTTGTATAATATATCCCTCCAACTTTCATCTTTTTGTCAACTTCTTGTACAATTTTGTATATCCACAATAACACTTCATTCCATCCCTCTACATCTTTCTTTCTCTCTCTCAATCTTCCTCTCTCTCTCTCTCTCTCTCTCTCTCCCGTCAGGTCAGGTTGTAGTGAGGAGGATATCGGGTATCCTAAAATAGAAACCAGAAGCAATCAATATATTTTGACGACTGTTTAATTACCGACCCCATCGCATACGTTCTAGATTCTCTCCTCCTTCAGGAACTCGGTTGGATGAAAACTGATAAGTAATGGAAAGGGCTGGAGAAAAAGATATATGTATATATATATATATATATATATATATATATAGATAGAGAGAGAGAGGGAGACGAGGAACCCTACCGTAGCGGGGTATCCCATCCATCTCATCACTCTTCCTCGTCTCTCACCATAATCTTCTCTATAAATTGATTCAGGACAATCTTTCACTCGGTAGGTGACAAATGTTTACAGAAAACATTTATTTATTATGGATAATAATGAACATTTTCATAAATTGTCTCGACCTGTAAGACAAAATATAGGTGAAGATGAAACAGGTTAATAGATGATAAAATGGGGGTTGCAAATAATCCCAGAAAAATAAATCATTTTGAATGATTTTGCTTTTAAAAACACACACAATAAACTATAAGTATCTATGAGGGTTAAGCATGATTCTCTCCCAAAATAATGCATTTGAGCATTGAGTACGCCAACATTGAGGTCTTTACCATGTAATCTTAAATATACTACTGTATGATAAACTGTAAAATTCACACCAAAATTGATTTTATAACATATCTGACTTCAAAAGTATAGTGTCTATCCCATCAAAATTGAAGCATAGTCAATTATTGCCACACACCATACCATATAGCAGAGATGTTAGTGGATAGGGAAACCAGTAGATGGGAAAATGCGCCCTGTCACGACTCTTCCCAGGTGTGGGCCCTTTAAAGGTACAATGTCCCATTTATAGGCCCCCAAAAATGAATTCCATGAACATTTGAAAGATAATACTAAATTAAGAACCTTCCTCAAAACAAAAGGTCTTGAAAATGTATAATTCAACAGCGCCAGGGCCATCGTTAGTTGTCAAATCGAATTTAGCGATCGCGGTCGTTTAAATAAATAGTCTGATTTCAGACCTTTGTACCTAATGGTCGAACGTTTTGTGCTGCGCAAAAATTCAATCAGTTTGATTTTTGCCATTAGAAGAAGTGGTTATTGATGTAGACAAATCCCCATGTACCCTTTACATCTCATTTTACGTATATTTTCACCAAAGAAAAAAAGAAGTCAGTCAGTCAGTCACTTAATATTGTCTGACAGTGAAGAAAGTAATTGGGTTTCCTTGCATAATTTCAATATTAGGACACTGCTAACATTTAGATTCCACTGATACGACATAAATGTTATATTCATAATTTATTCCTGCAAAGTTCTACAGAATTTGATGTTGGCTGCAAAAGGGATATGTTCCCTTTAAGATACGGGTCTGAACATGGACTGGAATGCTCCCCTCAGAATGAGGACGCTAAGTACAGTATGGCAGCCAGCAGCACAGATAATTATAGGTTATAAAGCATTTTAATCAGTCATTAAAATGCGGTGTAATGTTTGTATATACAGGTGTATAAATCATCAATTTACAATAAAAAATATTAATCTTCATGATTTCAAGATGTTTTTAATCTATTTAGATCGGAAATGAACGATTTTTATATTAAACAGCTATTTTTATCGTAGTGAAATCGATCAACATGATTGGAAACATGTTTACAAATCAGAGCGATTGGAGGTACACTAGAGATTCTGAGAAATAAAATCCAAATCATCCTTAACAAAAGTTGGTATCTTGGAAAACCGGAAAAAATAATTCCTAAGTCATTATTTCACGATGGTTTCTGTCTTTTTCCCCGGCTTCCTAAGAGCATTTCATAATATTTGATGGACTTACGTATGAAAGTCCCCGTTCAGTTAACTATTTCCTATTTCCTGGTTAAACACCGCTGCTTTCCAATCTCGGCGAGAGATAGAACGCATCCCATAGCATCAGCTAACCCGATTTGGCCCACTATCTTCCGGAGAATGACGTCAGCACATTGAACTGAGTAGAGGAAGGCTTACTGTACAAGCATTCCGAGGTGGAGGAGATAGAGAGAGAGGGAGAGAGAAGAGAAATGAGGGGGGTGAAGAGAGAGAGAGAGAGAGAGAGTGAGAGAGAGAGAGAGAGGGGCGACTATATTTAGATTGCTAGAGTCTGTCAGCCGAAGCTAGGCCTTCGCGGCAAAACAAGACGGTGGATTTTTTCCCTTCTATTCTTTTGGCCGCGCGATTTACGTCAGTAGTGAGTTGTGGAGCAGACATGATCTCTATGTGTAGTGAATGGAGCTAAGTGGATGTTTTTAAAAAGGAAAGACAGTGCGAGGGGGAATGTTTAGGGGGTAAAGAGCTCGATTTGTTACATAGCATATATTGGTGAACGTAATTATCAATATCCGAAAAAATTCTTCGAAAATGATTTAAGGGGAAATAGCGTATAATTTATTTGCGTGTTTCAAGTGTCTCACAGATTTTGCATGTGGCGACACCAATGCTTTATCGTTACTTTCAATCATTCACGAAAATAAATTCTCCTCAAACCCAAGTATATCAATGATAAGCTCTCGGAATCAACTAACCAATAACATAATATGCACCCCGAAACAAGTTCTACGTCGCCTATATAAAAACACGGCAATGAACAGGAATCTTTTATTTGTTTGTGAATATTTTCAAAGAAAACTGAATTAAATTTCAATATGAGATGAAATATTCGACTTCCTAAAAAAAAATTAGAAATTGGTGGCAGATGGATACAACTGTTTCGAGGACAATGTTTGATTATGACGTCATGGATTCATCTTTCTTACGCTGTGCCCAATAGAGCAAGGTATCCTTTAATAACGAATGCTACCTTGAAATAGTATGCGTATTTATGGAAAATCATATTGCCCCTAATAATTATCTATCAAAAGCTATAGGGTATTTTTAGCTCTTTCTCTTCAGCACAGAGAATGATATGTTATTATATACAAATAATTATTGACTGCTTTTAGGTGCACGGTTAAAACTATTGCCCATGTGATCTCAAAACTGAACTCTTCTCCGAGACGTATTAGATGGGCACAGTGCAGTCTCGAAACCACCGACGGGCTATACTTTTCACCTCGACCCCCCCCCCCAAATAGGTAGTCAATATTATTTTGTTTTACATACCGCATCCCAATTATCAATTCTTAAAAAAGAAATATTGTAACAAAATGTG